TTTGGCCTATCCTTTGTGTTATCCTATTAGAGGAGCTGATAATTAATGCAATGATGTTAATTTGAATAAAATAAGTATGTGGCATGTGTTGTCTCCTTCCATCTAAAGGTTTATAGTCTATTGTCCATGAAGCTGATGGTATTTAGTATGATATAAAATTGGAAGATTTATACATTTTTACGTTTGGATTCGTTTACACAGACACATTGCAAATGTATAATTCAGTTCTTTCATTCATTTGGCACACCAAGATATGCATGAACACATGGCATGGATCAGTTCTTGACTCTGTTGTTTATGCAGCTGGGAGTGAACACTGTTCCGGTCCTTGTTGGTCCAGTCTCCTACTTGCTGCTTTCTAAGCCTGCAAAGGGTGTTGATAAGAACTTCTCTTTGCTTTCACTTCTTGGAAAGATCCTTCCAATTTACAAGTGAGAAATTGAATTTCTCAAAAAGAAAAATAAGAGTTAGTAATTTTGCGTTGTTGGAGTATAATGACTAATTTCATTGGTTTATGATGCTATGTAAACATACAGGGAGGTTATCTCTGAACTTAAGGCTGCTGGGGCTTCTTGGATTCAATTTGATGAGCCGACCCTTGTGATGGATCTTGATTCTCACAAGTTGCAAGCCTTCACAGAAGCCTACGCGCAACTTGAATCATCCCTCTCTGGTTTGAATGTCCTTATTGAGACCTACTTTGCTGATATCCCTGCTGAGGCCTACAAAGTCCTTACATCTTTGAAGGGTGTTACTGGGTTTGGATTTGATTTGGTTCGTGGAACTAAGACCCTTGACTTGATCAAGGGTGCATTTCCTAAAGGCAAATACCTCTTTGCTGGAGTGGTTGATGGTAGGAATATCTGGGCAAATGATCTTGCTGCATCTCTGAGTACCTTGAATGCTCTCGAGGGCATTGTGGGCAAAGGTACAATACCACCCTACTTATACTCGGCACTACATTTGTCTTGGCATGCATTCGTTATGAGTTGTTGGATTCTGATTTCTGATTAATTGTTTGTCCCTCCAGACAAGCTTGTGGTCTCCACCTCTTGCTCCCTCTTGCACACTGCTGTCGATCTAGTTAATGAGACCAAATTGGATAAGGAAATCAAATCATGGCTTGCTTTTGCTGCTCAGAAGGTTGTTGAAGTGAATATGTTGTCAAAGGCATTGGCTGGGCAGAAGGATGAGGTATTATTACTTGTTCTTTTGCTCAATAAGTCCCGTCAAAGCATCATGGTACCTGGCCATTGTTGAGGTCAACAGTCATTTATAGGTTCCTTCTTGACAATCAACAGATTAAACAACTAGTCTGTGATTAGGGCTTGACCTTGACTTGTGATCAAATTAGTGGAAAAGATGTGATCTTGCTCTTCTGTACTCTTCTTGTATCGAACCCTTGCTCAATAGCCGTGGCTCTCTGTTCAGGCATTTTTCTCTGCTAATGCCGACGCTCAGGCCTCAAGAAGGTCCTCACCACGGGTGACTAACCAGGCTGTTCAGAAGGCTGTAAGTTCATTGGATTCTGCTTCTGTATCTCTCTGTCTTTAATGCTACCAAACAAGTTTTAATATTGTTTGAACGGCTTGATGTTCTCTATTTCAGGCTGCTGCTTTGAAGGGTTCTGACCATCGCCGTGCTACAAATGTGAGTGCTAGGCTTGATGCTCAGCAGAAAAAGTTGAACCTTCCTATCCTCCCAACCACCACCATTGGATCCTTCCCCCAGACCGTGGAACTCCGAAGAGTCCGCCGTGAATACAAGGCCAAGAAGTAAGTGAATCTAATTTTTCACTGTGTTTCTGCTGTCCATTTGTAATTTGAGAGATTTGTCATCCTCATAATTGACACCATTAACCGTGAATGCTTAATAGGATTTCTGAGGATGAATACGTCAAGGCCATCAAGGAGGAAATCAACAAAGTTGTCAAGCTTCAAGAGGAGCTCGATATTGATGTTTTGGTTCATGGAGAGCCTGAGGTCAGCTTTATTACTTGGGTTACATCTCTACCATATTAGCGATGACGAAAACAATGAAGAGGAGAAAGTTTTGACCAGAATAAAAAGAAATCCATGAATGGTTGTGCACGCCATATACTTTTAAGTCTTCCACTCTATCTAATTGGGATTATCTTGATTGCAGAGAAATGATATGGTTGAGTACTTTGGCGAGCAGTTGTCTGGTTTTGCCTTCACTGTCAATGGTTGGGTGCAATCTTATGGCTCTCGCTGTGTCAAACCTCCGATCATCTATGGTGATGTGAGCCGCCCCAAGCCAATGACCGTTTTCTGGTCCTCTATGGCCCAAAGCATGACTGCCCGCCCAATGAAGGGAATGCTTACTGGCCCCGTCACCATTCTGAACTGGTCCTTCGTAAGAAATGATCAGCCCAGGTACAGATGAACACAAACCAAAAATTTCGATGAGCACAAGATGTTGGTCGTTTTTTGGCTTTCTTGGCGAGAAATTCTTTAACATGACAGTGGGTTGTTCTTGCAGATTTGAGACTTGCTATCAGATTGCCTTGGCCATCAAGGATGAAGTGGATGATCTGGAGAAGGCCGGTATCAATGTCATTCAGATTGACGAGGCTGCTCTTAGAGAGGGTCTTCCCCTTAGGAAGTCCGAGCAGTCATTCTACTTGGAATGGGCCGTTCACTCCTTCAGGATCACCAACTGTGGCGTGAAGGACACTACTCAGGTTCTCTCTCTCTCTCTCTCTCTCCCAGCCGGCTCACATTTCATGTCTCAAGATCTAACTGATGCATTCGAACCGTCTTTACCGTTCTTAGCTAATTTTGCCTCTTTCCAACTTTTCCCAGATCCATACCCACATGTGCTACTCCCACTTCAATGACATCATCCACTCCATCATCGACATGGATGCCGACGTCATCACCATCGAGAACTCCCGTTCCGATGAGAAGCTGCTCTCGGTCTTCCGCGAGGGAGTGAAGTATGGTGCCGGAATCGGCCCCGGTGTGTATGACATCCACTCCCCGAGAATACCATCGACCGAAGAGATCGCCGACCGAATTAACAAGATGCTTGCGGTGCTTGAGAAGAACATCTTGTGGGTGAACCCTGACTGTGGACTGAAGACACGCAAGTACCCCGAGGTTAAGCCTGCCCTCAAGAACATGGTTGCTGCCGCCAAGGTACTCCGCACCAAGCTCGCGAGCGCCAAGTGAGCGATATTCAAGTCGGGGAGTTTAATCCTCGATGATGATTCAACGGTTACCTACTAATACAATCAAGAAAAGCCAAGATTTCGCTATTGGATTTAATAATCGGGGTCAACGTAATGTTAGGAGGTTTGATGCCACCCTTGAGGGTCTTTTTTTGCCTTTAATTCCGCTTATTTTTCACTATTCCAAAATTTTTCCCTTTGGCTGTACGCATCGCTTTCTTTGGAAAGAAAGAAATTGCTTTCTGTACCAGTTAGTGCGCCGAGGGCAATTTTCACATGAATTTTTACGTATTCTACTTGTTGATTCCACAACCCCCGGGCAGAAACATCTCGATTGGCAAAACAAAGGCGATGACCGCTCCATTGGATGTACCTGAGATGGGTTCATGCGCCGGTCCCGAAAATCCGATGTGGCACCTCCATGGCTCCATGTTGGAGAGCAAATAGGCTGACGTGACCGAGCATGAATACGCTCTTAACATGAAGAATGACAAAAACAAATGATCTGACGACGTAACGCTTTCATGATGCGCTTCTAAAATTTACGAGGGGCACTCAAACGGTTAATAACGCGCGAAAGAAGTCGTGGACAATTAGAAAAGAGCTCGGAAAAATTATTCAAAAAATCGTAAACCTGCTGTACAGTGGTCAATTCAATCCTACATTTTTTTAATTGTACCAGTTTAGTTATATATATTTTAACGATTTGCTAATTTAGTCTTTTCGATTAATTTTTTATTAATTTTTGTTGAAAATCACTGACATAGATGTTGGTTGTTCGACCTAGCATGATCGGCGCTGACATAAATAATCTTTGCAAATTTTGTTTTTTCATAGAGATGTCTCCTGTGTAATCGGTAATATGTGAAAGTATCAATGTAATTTCATAGTCACTTGGTTTGAATGGTAACACAAAGAACATAAGTCAGACGATGGAACGGGAAGATTATTTTTTCTTATTGCCCTTCCATTGGCTGGGGCCGCGGCGTTGGCCGGCCACATAGGCCAGCGAGGGCCTCGCGAGGCCACCAGCCCTCAATAGAGGAGCAAAAAGAACAAAAAAATTAAAATAAAAAAAATCAATAAAGGGTTAACACCACGAAAAATCCCAAACTAGTACAGTTGTGACAATTTTACCACAAACTACATTTTTTACCACAAAAAACCCCAAACTGGTACACCTGTGATAAATTTTGACTACGAAAAACCCCAAACTGGTACATTTGTGACAAATTTACCTTCCGTTAATTTCTGTTAAATTGAATTAATACCACAAAAAATAACAAACTGGTGCACCTGCGATAAATGGGGGGTAAAACATAAAACTGATACATCAGTTAACTATCGTGTGTCATTTAACAAAGCAATTTGACCGTAAAATTTAAAGGAAACAAATTGAGAGTAAATTTGTCACAAGTGTATCAGTTTGGGATTTTTGGTGGTCAAAAAAATTAATTTGGAATAAAATTCTTACAGATGTACCAGTTTGGTGTTTTTCATGATATTAACCCATAAAATAAAAATTCAGGAAATTTAAAAAAAAATTGTAAAAAGTATCCATGTTAACAATTTTCGTCCAATTTGGCCAGAAAAACCACATTGACAAATCATCAAAACATTTAAAACTAAATTATTACAATTCAAAATTTTAGGGCTGAATTTACCATCAACAATATGTTTAGAATTTTTTCAACAATCATTATATGAATTGATGCAAGCACAATACGTACAATTTCATCTGGACCAAAACGTATGGGAAAGAGTCTCCACAAGACGGTACCATTTCACCGTCACATAATGTAAATCATATACGAAATACCTTCTGAACTACAACCTAATTTAAGCCCCAAAATTTTGGCCATGCCGAAAAGGCATGTAACAAACTCAAAGGAAGACTCTGCCCCCATAATCGTCAAATGGAAAAGGAGGATTTTGCCTCTAAAAAGAGGAAAAACATCACATGAGTATGCCCTCGACATTATTGAGAGCCTTCTTCACAATCTTAAATTTTCCACTGAGAGCTCTATTGCTACTGACCACATATTCCCGAATAAAGAACTCGATGCCCAATCGAAGAGTCTCGAGCTCTGGACTCACTGCAACCCGCGTAAATATGTTCCAAATCAGACTGTCTGGTTGCTCGAACATCACCTCAAACAGCACCCGGAAGTGAATGATCCGTTTCGCCGTTAGTTGCCTGGCATCGCTGAAATCTACCGTTTTCAAAAGGGAAAGTGACAGGGTAAATGAGGCCACCATCTCTGCCACGAACTTTGCCAGGTGCATGGATCTCAAGAGTTGCAACGACTCCAGCTCTTTAAAGTGATCCCAAAGGCAGAACTGTGGATTTGCACGGGAGGATAGCAAATTAATAAGATGAGGTAGATAACAAACTTCAGGGATACAGAACAGAAAGGAACGATAATATTGACGGCTTCTCCAAGAGGTCACCCCAACCGAATCTCCCTTCTTTGTGACTGCTAAGTTTCACTTATTTTCTAATCTTCTTATTTTCCTCACTGATTAGCATAATATTTCAGTACCTACTATTGAACTGAAGTGCCTGAAGAAGAAACTTAGGCAACAGACACAGAGAAATAGCATACAAACCGGCTTTTCTTATTTCCGTAAAAAAGGTGCCATTAATTCCTTAGATCATGCAGATAGCAGAATCTTTTATTCTTAGGGAAACTGGCATAATCCTCTGAGCTATTGTGAGGTAGATGGATAGAAGTACCTGCAGAGTGAACTTGTGGTTCTTGTCATGCTCACATAACTTAGCAGCCAGAACTTTATAATATCTGTTAAACACTTTCTCCTGCAAACAGCACTCCACAAGAACCCGCATAATTTCTCTGTCCTGCAGCACATAAAAGACAAACAGGAATGATGATATATTTTTTATTCTTTGCCTCCAGACAAATGGGTCAGGGCCCAGCACAAATGTGGACCATTCCTCCAGAATTCTCAATGACGCCACTATGTGATTTCAGTCGAGGTAACAGAAAACCCAGTGAAAGAAAACGATGCCTACATAAGGGTGCAGCTAGTAAATTACCTGTTTTCCAGGTAAATCCAACCTCAAAAGTTTCTCAAATGCATCAATATAGTCCTCTCCGCTCATTATTATACAGAATATTGCCCTTCTGGCATCTGTATTCATTCTCTGGGCAGAGGCAAGCTGCAGCATTTTTTGCGTTTCCGCGACCTCTTTGTCGATAGTGTTTGCAACCTCGACAACATCGTCAGTTTTAGAAGCCATGTCCCCTGACAGCCACCATTGGCCTTTCTTGTCTGGATCAAGCAATTTGCTCCACTTGATTCCCCTGAGTAGAGCATTCTCTATCCCTAACTGGGAATGAAGAATCAACATATAAGTTGAGCATCAACACTCAAATATACAACAGCAAATGACAATTTAAGAATCAGCAATAGAATATGAAGACATGCTATTTCTATGATCTCCGCTCATTCTGCCAACCAAGAACTAATCTGTCTCATAATTCACCATGCCACTAGACAACTCCATAGTAGCGAGGAGCGCATCATGTCAGCTAAGCAGAGTGGCAATATCAATTATTATTAGGTTTCATTTGTATATCACTTTCTCTTCCATTGCCTCAGCAGATATTCACTGAAGTAACAGAATCAGATATGAAATAGCTAGACCATGGGGTCAAGCATAAGATCATGTTACACGGAATGCCGAGAGAGAATAATAGATTATGCCAAAGCAAAGGCACTATATTGAGCACAAGTTTTTTCTCTGAACAGCTGGAAGATTGCAGGAAAAGGTGTAATGAATCTAACAAAAGCTGACCAGATATGTCAACTAAACTCCCCCAGACAATTGCCACTGCATCTAATAAGGCTGGGCTGGGAGGAAAGGACAGACATGAGAAGGGCTAAAAGAAGGACATCGCATCAAATTTAGCAGCTCAACCTTCTGCAGCCATTTCTTAATCCTTGTGTGCGGCGCAGGATCCTCCTTCGTCCTTTTCTTGTTGTTTTTTATATCACAAATGGTATCAAGCATGAACTCCATCTGCAATGTGATTCAGTTAGATACTTGAAGGGGACAATTTCAGGAATTGATGTTCTTAGAGGAAATAAATTGAAAGCTTACTCTTTTACTATTGATATTTTTCTCGCCTTCATCAGGAGAGGCCTTCAACTCATTCACCCTATTTTGAACACTAGCGATGAAACTTTTCATGGCACCAGGATCATCACCTCTTATTTTCATTCCACAGCCTAGTTGGTAATGACCACATCGGGTTAGACCTAATTAAAAAGTTCGGAATTTCTCCTTCCATAGATCAACAGTTAAATTTCCAAAGAAAGGCCTTAAGTCAAGCAGTAAATTCTACTAAAACTTGAAAATTGACTTGAAAAAACTATCCAATCCATCTGCGGAATGTGAAAAAAGCTTTGAAAAGCTGCCAATAGCAAAGTTCTAGGAAGTCTTACATTGCAAGATCGTCAGGATAGTAGAGACATCAATCTCTGTCAACCTTTTGCTCAACATGATCAGAAAATCATATATCAAGTCACTGGAATCCATCATGAGAAAACCTAATGTCAATGAAGATGCTTAAATAATTCGAAGAAAATAAGAAAATTAACTTGATCTAAACCATTTTGTAGCCAAAACTTGAGGTTTAGCCTTAAAAGTGATTATATCGTGACATGCCACTTCAAATGATAGAGCTTTCACATTTGCAGATCCTAGGGTGCCGATCTTCATTCTTTTTGCCGATCATGTTTGATGTAGTCGACAGTATTTAGCAATCATGCAAAGTGCTTAAATTTCACGCTAATTTTTCCCATCACCTGGTTGTTCAGGATAGTATATTATGTCCAGGTAAAAGCACACACAAGGCATTTAATGCAGTCCCTATTCAAGCTTCAGGCCGAGTCTGGATTGACTTTTAACTTTATGTTTTACTTAATCTTCTCTTACAGAGCACTCACTTTAACTTTTTTCGAACCTGAAATATCTGAGACTTTTGCAAATATATAAATGTATACACGTAGACTCGAAATAAATTTTTTAAATAATTTTTTGAATTTGGAAAAATAAATTAAAATTTTGGCGGAAAAGCAAAAAGGTATAGTTAATGCTAGATGACAAACCCTTAATCTTATGCTTGTCGGCATAATTTCCCCAAGCATTACGAAATCACTGCAGTTACAAGATTTTTTAACAAGAGAAAGGCTTTATTTGGAGTGACTTTTACCTTTTACCTTTTGCTTTTTCCAAATCTTGCGGAGCACGAGATTTTTGACTTTTTTTCAATCTTAAAAATATTAAACTTTCCCAATCTACAATCGTCGACGTGAAGATTCATATATACATTTTTCATAATTTTAAATTTATTAATATTTTAAAATTAACCGGAAAATTTACTTTTTATAAGTAAACAAATGGGATTGAGCGCAATGGCATAACAGGATTTATATAGCCTACTCCACTTAGTGGGGTAAGGCTTGGTTGTTGCCAAACAGGCCCTACGACTTTTTCCAGGAATTCTAACAATTCAAAATTGTCAAATACAACTCAACATTGCGAATGCATTTAAATGCAGATGTCTTTCCCTATTATGAAGACCAGATTGAGGACAAGTAGCTAGAAACAAAAACATTAGAAACAAAAAACATTGAATAACCACGATTTTGCTTCGTCTTGATGGAAAGTAAAACTTACCTAAAGAAACATGACAACGTGCAGCAGTACAAAAATTGCAAGGTGCCTAAGAATTTTTTTCCCTCAAAAATCAAGTTCGCAGTTAGGTGATGAGTTCACTAACCTTGAACAAACTCCAAATACGCACAGATAGGAGAGCAAGAGAGTCAGATTCCGCAGGGAAAGATTGTCTGCTTTTAGGAACTCATTCTGCAGACCAAGAGACTTGCCGTTAGTAACTTCTTAGAACTGAAAAGGCAGGAAGAACGCAATAATAAAGACCAAAATCCTGACAAAAGCTTTAATATGCGAATGCAATTATAGACATAAATCTCATTGCATATAGACATGCATTGACAATGTACCAATGCTGTAAGCTCCAATATAAAAATTCAAACCTCAAAATATTTTGCGAGAGAAGCAACGAGCTTTGCACTGAAGTCCATCCCAACTGAACAAGCCATACCCGCAACAAAGGATGCAAAAACGGCGGCATACCTTCAAAGGAAGCAGAAAATGTCAGTTAAAAGGTAATTTTGACACTAGATAAAAGGTTGTGGTATAATACAACCCAGCTCCATGCTTAATTGTACTTATTCTGATACTTCTACCTCATATGGAGGAACCGGCAAACAGAGTACATCTCTACTCTCAACATAAACATGCAACCAGCCCATATTACAAATTTCAGGGACACCTTTTAATCTAAACACTGCTTAGATATGCCCATAGATAGCTGTTGTGCGAATTGCATGACCAATGAGGACCCAAATTCTCAAAAGAAGACCAACCACATTTATGTCTAGTAGAAATGACACAGAGAAACAAGGAACAAAATATGCTCCCACAGAATGAAATAGGGATCGAGTAAAAATTTATGAACCTACATATAATTTCCTAATTAACAGCATTAGGTGCACCAAGCAGACAAGGCGCAAGATAAAAAGATCAAAGTGAAAAAGAAAAAACTTAACTGTTCATTGCCACGAGGACCTCCAGAACAAGATGCCAAAACCTCTTCGGTGATAATATTGGAACCGGCCGTGCGGCCAACTGACTGTATATGGGGACAATAAATAGCTTGAGATCCTTAAGCAATTATTCATCCTTAAAAAGTGACAATGATATGATAGATGTATCATAGTAGAGGATAAGGAACTCGACATCTAAAGAAATGATGCACTGTGATAATTGGTAATAAATCGAAGATAATGCTCCACCGTCACAGAATTCAAAACACAGGAAATTCCCAATCTCACAGGGTTAAACACTCAGTAGAGCAAAAATAGACAGATTCGGAGGAGCAATACTAAGATGGAAAGAACGTCGCAGAGTTTACAACCAAAAGGGAACAGATGCCTCAGAAGGGCCTGAAGGGATCGGAGAGTAGCTATGCACACGATTGACACTCTCACGAGCCTCTTTTGAATGGATAGCAAATTTAAATATTTCAAATTTTTACTGAGCAAGATCAGTGACCTCCTGCGTAAAAAGAAAATTGCTGGACAATCCTAAGATGTTACTAAACAGGAACTGCAAAAGACATATAAGATGCAAAGAGCTCGGGATGAATTATAGTTTATGATGAGCTCAGATGACATACGGAATAGAGTGTGGCTATTTCCCCAGTGATGGATTCCACGTTAGATTCAGACAACCTATTTAGAAGACCTGAAATAAACCACAAGTTTAAAACCTGTGTAGATATCCATTCAAAGATGGAAGGAACATTAATAATCCATAATGTGGAGTAACACAATTCTCTTACCTCGTACCCTCCTTCGGAGCTGCTTATGCTCTTCCGACTCACTTCCAGCATGCGATCTCAAATGCGGTGCAACGTATTTTGCCTTACTCTCAGACAAGGTCGGATTTATAGGATCTCCCTCCCTAGCAACCTCTCCTGCAGAGGTCTCTGTCATACAGATGCTAAAGTCTGATTCATCTTCCTTTGTTGTTTTACTCTTCTTCCTTTTCTTCCTAGTAGGTGCCTCGGCAGGAAAATCCTCCAAATCCACCTCAGCAGAAGAGGGTTCTACTGAGTCACAGGCTCCAGCCTTAACATAATCAGCTTTTCCATCATCCTGCATATGCTCTAAGTTGGACCTTTCACTTTTTTCCCCTGAAGATTTACCTTCATATCTTTCGCTATGATTTTCTCTTAAGTCTGGTGTTTCTTGTTCAAAAGAATCAAGAATAGAAGGAATTCCTTTAAATAACATATTCATTCCATCGTCTGACCCACGTAGCTTTCCATCGTTCACCTTGAGCTTCTTGGCAAGCTTCCTTTCCAATTTCAAATCCTCATCGGCAGATATAGCAGCTTTCCGCATATCGTGTTCAAGATACTCTTCGAACTTAGTCTTCGATTTTCTCTTCACATTATTCTTCACTTTGCTGGACTTCAACAAATCAGAATTGTCCTTCAACGAAGACTCAAGCTTAACCTTTAGATCAGTCAGCACATTAGCATTCTCCAACTTTAGGGTTTTCTTAGAGTCACTGCCAGTTTGAAAATTTCCAACCGCCACAGAACTATGAGACGGAGCATATTTCGATTTTTGACCACTGTTCGACTTTGAAGCTACCAAATTCTTCTTCAGTTTCTGAGACTTCTGCAAACATTTAGTTCACACCAAGCAATGCAGACACGCTCATTCAAGTCACAGCTCACAAGAGACATAACGAACACCAACAAGAAGAAGATGAAAAACCTGATGTTGCATCCAGGATTGGTGCTTCTGGTCCTTCTTGGCCGACCGAGCTTCTTTTCGCTTCTCGCGACGCGACTTTGCCAGCGGCTCTCTCTCTGCAACAGAAACACTTTGTTCCTTTAAAAGCAAAAGCAAAAGAGCGAAAAGACACGGGAGACTTTGACAAACACAACACACGAAGGAAGAGAGAACTCTCACCCATGCTTCCCTAGTTTACTCTACACCCACGCTCGTCGCCACTGTCAATTGACAGAGAAGAAGCTGCGTCAATCACACAGTTTCCGCTTCAATCGCTGCTTAATCCAATCAAACAGAACCCAGTCAGAACAACAAATACCCATGCCTGATACGCATGCATGACAACTAGACCTGTCAAACGAGTGGGTCGGGTTAGAGTTGAGTCATATATGGTCCGACCGCAATTGACCCACTTAGCCCGTTTACGACCTATATATTTCAATGCAAATTTCTCGACCCATACCCACCCCCGTCTTATAATTCATTTTTAGCATTTTTTTCTCCTTATATTATTGCCTTTGAAGAACGGATGGCTCCATGGACCAGCTCATCAAGTTAGTGAGGGAGCTCGAGGGGCGGGTTATGAACGGGGGCGTGAAGCTTTAGTGACAGAGAACGTGTTCTTGACCATCAACTTAAATCTAATTCAATAACTTCAAAGACTTGTCAAACAAATCCTCTATAAGGTATCGCATCACTGCACTGGTGAACTCAAACCCACAAAAGCCAAACTGCATCCAGATTAACCACAAAAATTTTAGAATTACCACAGTAGATAATACCAGCAACTATAAATGTTAACCCTAAGTCTAGATAATTCCAAGATGAACTAGGATGTCATAACTTTAACAATTCGACGTTCTCATTCAACATGCAAAAAGGGATGTTACTTGTAAAGCAATTGTCAACATCTACACGATTGAATCAATGTACATTCTCAAGTACTTGCATATTATCATGCTCTGGAGCACTTCAACAGATCACGTTACTCCTTCACTCAATACTTTCCACCAGCTGCCACCTCTGCACTTTAAACCAACTGAAGTGAACTTAAAGTCCCTATTGCCTGTCTCATCCTTCAACTTTCACAAGCACAGACAGTTCCAAGTTTCTAAAAAATAAACAGTGCTCAAATCTCTGTTAAACTGTTCAGATTTTTCTCATAGACCGCAAACAGCTAATAGTAGAAAACCTGTTACATAGACCACAAACAGCTAATAATGGGGTCAAACTACTGATCAAAGTGAGGATATCTCTATTTAGATCTAAGATTCCGGGTGAGTCATCTAACTGATGACCACTTATGCACAAACTGAAATAGATGGATATTAGTAACATTGATCTTCACGAAAGACGGATAATGTATTGTTCCGATATATCACCTTTCTACCAAGGGATGGGCTTGGGGAGGAGCGAGGACAGGGATCACGTCCCTCGTTCCTGCCCAGGAGACGGGGCAGCTCGGCTGGGCCTTTGGTGCCCCGCCCGGCTGTGGGCAAAATTCCAGCCATAAGTTTCCATTCAGCCATGGAAGCTCCTTTGCTTCATCGATACCTCTTATTTCGTTTCTTGCCTCTACTTTCACACAATCACGGACACTCAGAAACCAAATATATAACTGACCCAACCGAAAAACCATGGTTCCACATTCATAATCTCTCAATACTCAGAGAGACAAATCACACACACCCACATGCCAAGCTTTGAACTTCGCCACGAATTCAAATTCCCAAAGTTTCAGCACACGCGCGCTCCGCAAACAGAGAGAACAGGCCAACTCGCCCACGCTAGATATAGAGAGAGAACGACGAGATAGGGCACGAGATAGAGAGGCGATCGGATTGCTGGGTACCTGAGGTCTTCCCGCGACGGCGACGATAAGTGCTGCGGTGGTGCGGCGCCGCTGCTCGTTGGGGAGTCCGACGCCGGTGGCGGCAAGCAAAGCTGTGAGCGACTGAAGCGTTCGTTTGAGCCTTCGCGAGGTGGAAGCAAGAAGAACCAAAATTTGTCATGACCTGCAACATTGACAAACGTAACAAATTGGCCCGGCCCGGGCCTATTGGGCCGATAAAAGGGCCCGGTTGCAGCGACGCTTCAAGGCCCATATCCATATCGATCCGGGCCTGATCGTGGGCCTTTTAGGCGGGTTCTCCTCTCCACTGCTTCTTTGTGCTTATCACAGTTGAGTGAGGCCACGCTTCGCCGAATGAAGAATCTTAACCACTCCTTAGTTTTACAGTCGTCCGTCGTCCGTCGTACCTCCCGATGTTCGGGAGAGGATCGTTCTACGACCGATGCGGACAATAGCCGGCTAAAACGTGGACTTCGATGGACCATCCGAGGACTTCAATTGACGGTATAAATAGATGCTCGGAGACCCCCCCCACCAAATTCACCTCACTAGTCATCCACCGATACGTAGTGTTTTCTGATACATACCACAAGAGTTCTCAACTTCAATCGGAATGGCTTCTTGGTTCGCCATCCTTGCCATTGCTACGCTTGTCGCCCTCCCGTCGGTCGCCCTGGCGACGCAGTGGACCGTCGGAGACGGTTATGGCTGGAACATTGGCTACAATTACACGGATTGGGCCGAGGAAAAAGTGTTCCTCGTCGGAGATAGTCTCTGTAAGTGAGCTCAGGTTCAATATTTCATATCGTTCGAGGGCATAGTGGACACTTGAATGCAACTAATTGGCAAAAAAAAAGTATCCATCGGCTTTGGTTGTTCCTAGTTTGATTATTGTCAAATTACTTGTTAAGTATAGTAAACCAGTCACATCTTATTTATTTGGCGGAGATAATTGATAATACTTTTTCTCGAGGAAAATGCATTCCTCGACCATGAAAATTTTTCACAAACTCGAGTTTAGTCACCTCTTTAATTAATGAAATCTATCTCAACTTAGAATTGATATGTCGATATCTAATTGTCAATGATTATGTATCCCGGTTAACTCTCTCGTAGTGTTCAGCTACCTAGCGGGCTTCCACAATGTGTTAAAACTGAGCAACGCGACCGACTTCCAAGCGTGCAAGAAACCGCCGGAGAATGAGGCCCTCACTAGTGGCCACGATGTCATCCCTCTCAAGACCACCGGGGTCAAGTGGTACATCTGCGGGATCCAAGACCACTGTGCCGTGTTCAACCAGAAGCTCAAGATCACGGTCGTGGACCACACGCCAAGTGACAAGAAATCGGCTGCCAATGCCCTCGTTTCGTCCAGCTTCAAGATTCTTGTAGCCGCTGCGGTTGCTCTTGTCTTGGTCACAGCTTGATAACACGATGCATGTGTTCTTATGTTATAACCATAAATAAAAGCAAGGGAAATTGTTGGAAGATATGCTTGAATCAGTCTGGATTATGATTGATACAATCCGGGATTGGAGTTGATTGAATGAATCAATCTAGGGTTAGAATTGATTCTATATGATTCGCCTAGAAGATATACTTTCCATTTATTATGCATATTTTGTATTATATAATGAGCATTGTACATGTAAACCGACAAGCTACAGAAATACAAATCAGCTTCTCTTTCATTCTCGGTTCTAGCTCTTCCCTTCAATTTGTGACAGAAAGCACATCATAATCATTTACTTTCAAAGTATAGTCATAGCTTGTGGGGAGGGAAATAATAAGAGCAACCTGAGTTTTTTTTTTTGGCATGAGCATTAGCAGCAATCAGTCACAACTGAGTGGCCCATCCCAGAAGATTTGGTTAGCTATCTTAACTATAGTAATGATTCATTAAGAATGGTGCTATTTGGTGACTTCAGGGTACTCTTTTCCTCTTACCACTCTTGGTTTTTTTACGATTTTATTTGACAAGAACGGAGATCTTGATATGGTATATGACTTATCAATACGTTATCTAAAATAGCCAATTGATCGTACCATGTCCTAGTTTAACAATAACACAAGATCAACGACCTTCGACACAATCTTTAACATGATAGGAGAAAGCACTTTCTGTCTAACCTAAAAGATATGAAATTGCAGTCAAGACTTGGCAAAACCCAAGCTTTCGTTTTTCTAGTTTAGGAGTCCATTAACAAGTTCGGAAGAACAACATCAATCATTGCATAACCATTGCTTATATAATGCAAAATAGCGTGAAATGTTACGCAGATGATTTGAATAATGCGAAATATTGTGAAATGTTACGTAGATGATTTGAAAACTTGACTTCACTTTTAGAGGAATTACCAAACTATCAATGCCAATTGCCAAGACAATCAAGTTAGTCCTGTGATCAATTTGAAATTTCTCGGTAATTTATATGTAAAGTTTACGTACTTTGGTGACAAAAGATTGAATTAGATCTCCTGGAACTCCGCGAATGTGCACGAGCACTGCCGATTCCCCGAAGACAAAAGTTACAAAAAGAAATAACTCGAATTCCCCAAGCCCTGGTCAGTCAGCATGTCAAGCTCGTTCACTGAACTTATCTGCATGAGGCAACGTATGTTAGCTTAAAACACCAGGCGTCACAGAGAGACTTCCTGCTTGTGGTTCACTTACCAAGTCCTCGTTCCTTCATATTCACCAGATATTAACAGAACGATATCGAACATTAAAAAGATTTAGATTGATCATTACATCACAGCATCAGGGCAATAGGAATTCAAGAACTGCACCGGTGCAAGACATTGTTGTCGACGCATGGCAACGACATCAAAATCCAAGAAAGGAGACTTGAGAAAGAACGATCATTCAAGTGGTGGAATAAAGCAAGAAAAGGATCAGTCGAAGTGCCCAATGAACCGAGAAACCAGATTTAACATGGAGATGTCAACGATAAATAGGTTCGATCATAATGGGATTAGCTTTTATGCATATCACCTCTGTCCCTCAACCATGTGAAGTTAATCTCACCTATAACAATGGACCTTTTGTGTCTAATTTATCACTTAATAAAAAAGAACCAAAGTGAGGTTAGATCATGTCTAACATCTCGTCTCTCCTGTTTCCTAGACTATTGTTGTCCAAAGGAGATGGTGGATGCATTTGGTGGACAGTGAACTTCCTCAACCGTATTCACCAGTGAATCGACCAATTAGCTACATGTTCTATCTAATGATAGCAAAAGGCTGTATTGCTTCTTACACCCTCTTGCATATACTTCTTCAAGAAACTGTTTTTTTGAAAATGTCAAAATCCAAGTTGAAGGCCAGAATTCATTCGTTGACCTAGGAGTGCTTCTTAATCATATGTACCCGATGGGATTGTTGCTAATTAGAGCTACTAGGTTGAATCGAACTTGGTAAGATGCCAGCCGATGAACTCACGGGCTAGGTCCACGCGAACTAGATCAAGGTGAGAATTTCGACACTGACAAGAATAGTTTCTCCCTCGACCGACAATGACCCGATTGAACCAAGGAAAGCACAAAGCACTCCATCGCATTGCCATGATAGGAGAGCGAGGACGAGCTCAGATTGTTTTACATTTTTCTCACCAAATTATCGAAACAATAAACAAAAACCACATTAAACACGTTCGATTGCATTTCTTCATCCCATGCCACGACACATTAATTGCCCACATTTTACGTGCGAGGACCGAAGACGGTAACTTCCACGACGATGTTTCCGTCGCAACATCCGTTCGTCATTGGAGTTGAAACCTTAGTTTTACAGCTGTCCCTCTATCTCGTACCTCCCAAAGTTCGTGAGAGGATCGTTCTGCGACCGAAGCCGGCGATAGCCGGCTAAAACGTGGTCTTCGGTGGACCCTCCAAGGACTTCAATTGACAGTATAATTAGATGCTCAAAGGCCCCCCACCAAATTCACCTCACTGGTCATCCACTGATACGAAGTGTTTTCTGATACATACCTTGGGGTTCTCAACTTCAATCAGAATGGCTTCTCAGTTCGCCATCCTTGCCATTGTTGCGCTTGTCGCCCTCCCGTCGGTCTCCTTGGCGACGCAGTGGACCGTTGGAGACGATAACGGCTGGACCATTTACTACAATTACACGGATTGGGCTAAGGACAAAGTGTTTCGAGTCGGAGATAGTCTATGTAAGTAAGCTCGGGCTCGAGTATTTCATGTCGTTTGGGAGCATCGTGGACACTTGAATGCAGTTAATTGGCAAAAAAATTATCCATCAACTTTGGTCGATCCTAGCTTGATTATTGTCAAATTACTTATTACGTGTACAAAACTAGTCACATCTTGTTTATTTGGCCGAGATAATTGATAATGCTTTCTCTTATCGAGGAAATCTTATTCCTTGACTATGAAATTTCAAAAAACTCACGTTTAGTCATATCGTTAATTAAGGAAATCTATCTCAACTAGACTTGATTTGTGGATATCAAATTGTCACTAATTATGTATTCCAATTAACTCTCTCACAGTGTTCAACTACCAAGCGGGCTACCACAATGTGTTCAAAGTGAACCTGACTGACTTCCAAGCGTGCAACATCCCGCCGGCGTATGAGGCCTTGGCAACTGGCCATGATGTCATCCCTCTTATGACTCCCGGAGTCAAGTGGTACATCTGCGGGATCGGCCAGCACTGCGCCAATTTCAACCAGAAGCTCAGGATCACCGTTGTGGACAACACTGAAGGTCCAGCTCTGCCACCGGCCGCTCCCACGCCGAGTGACTCCCGCGCCAAGTGACGACCTCAGGTGCCAACACCCTCGTTTTGTCCAGCTTCAAGCTTCTTGCGGCCGATGTGGTTGCTCTTGTCCCGGTCTCAGGTTGATAACATGATGCATGTGTTCTTATGTTATAACAATAATTAAAAGCAAGGGAAAGCACATCATAATCATTTCCTTTCGAAGTATGGTCATAGCTTGTGGGGGGAGAAAATAAGACAAAAATTCAGTTTTTTTGCATGGGTATCAGCAGCAGCTAGTCACAACTGAGCGGCCCATGCGAGAAGTTTTGGTTAACTATCTTAATTATTGTATTGATTCATTAAAGATGGCGCAATGTGGTGACTTCAGGGTGCTCTTTTCCTCTTACCACTTCTTTTTTTCCAATTTTATTCGACAAAAACAGAGATCGCTATACGATATATAGCTTATCTATACTGTATTTGAAATAACCAATTGATCGTACCTCGTCCTAGCTTAACATTAATACAACATCGACCATCTTTGACACTATCTTCAACATGGAAGATGAAAGCACTTTCAAACTAATCTAACATATATGAGATCGTGGTCACGCGTCGGCAAAACCCAAGCTTTTTTTTTTCTTGTGCTGAGTCCATTAACACGTACGGAAGAACAACATCAATCATCGTATAACCATACTTATTTAATCATGTGAAATATCGTGAAACGTTAAGCAGATAATTTAAAAACTCGATTTCATTTGTAGAGAAATTACCGAACGATCAATGCCAATTGCCAAGACAATCAAGTTAGTCCTGTGATCAATTTGAATTCTCAATTTTTCTGTATGAGCATCAGCAGCAGCTAATCACATTGAGTTGCCCATGCCAGAAGATATTTCTGACTTCCTTTTATTTGGATATATTTAATTATCTTAATTATTTTATTGACTCCTTTCCTTTCGTCACTCCTTAATAGACCACGACAAAAATCATGATACAATATCTAAAATATCAAAATGGTAACTGAAATTACCAATTGAGAGATATCGATTTTTCGGAATCCTCGGAAATTGTTGTATTTTAATTTGACAAGTAGTTTTCCATGCAAATTTTTGTCGGTTTCTAGCCATATTTTGAGTCGGCGAAATCTAGGATCTTTTAGTACTTTGAAATGATTTTCTTTTGATAGTAAGTCTGCTTGAATCCGAGTTTGGTAGAGAGAAATATGGTGCGAAAAAGTTTGTCGCGCAACTGGCTATTCGTCATGATTGGCTATTCTTGAGATCTTTTATTGACCCATAGTAAACGATTTGAATCCAAGATAGCATCGCCTAGTCGACTTTTGTTAAGGTAGTTATTTACTTGGGTTTTAACATCGTAATTTGTTTGATTGATAGGATTTTGAGTTCATCGGTTTGAATAGTTTTCGTTGTTTAGTTTTGGCATTTCCACTTGAATGGTGCTTATCTTCTTCTTCTTTTTTAATTTGTAAACTCATATTTTATAAAATGATAAGAATTAGTAAAAGGCAAAAGTGATGTTTAAAACGTATTTGTTGCATAAAAATTGGATCGGACATTTAAGATCATTTTTGGTTATTTGAGATGGAATTTGGAGTTGATATGTGTGAAGGATTAGATAGTGGTTTGATGCTAATTGTGGCTATGTTTAGAACCCATTGAGGGGTTGAGTATACATACTATTTTCGACAGATTGATATAGGTGAGACCCAGCCAGGGAGAATCTTGGCCGCCTTTGTCACGAAGCGTTAAGTGTGACCATAGTCGGATATTGAGCACTAGATCGATTAATATCATTGATGTTTAATTTGATAGTATTGATTAAATGAGTATTTCTCATACGTGTAAAGTTTTGTTGCAAGGATATAACTCATTTTTTTATATTGTATGTATATTATGGTGTATTTGAGATAAAAGAGTTTTTGGTATTTTGTTATAATAATGCACAGTGGATTATTGATCTGCTTAGAAAGGATTTGTACTGTCTATTGAATTGTGGTTGGTGTTGATAGTTTGTTAGTAAAACAAACAAAGAGGTGTCTTATCCCACATTGGAAAAGATGTGAGTGTGTGGGACAATATATAAATGTGGAAGTCTTCTAGCTTATAATTGTAGACCTTGGGTTAAGTGGTTGTATCTTACCATACTCGCATGCGGGTACGCAATTGTTAGAAGCACTTATTAACTTTCTCGTTTAATTCTTTTTCACTTTCAATTTTCGTTTCTTTATGAAAAAATACATCATTTATTCTCCAATTGTTACCTTTTCAGAGTTCGTGGAGAAATACCAGAATTGTTATATGATATTCTCATTTTGAGGCTTTCCATCTCGGAGAATTTTGCCAGTAAACATTTTAGTCATGGAAGCTCCTTGCTTCATCATACCTCGTATTTCGTTTCTTGCCTTGACTTTCACACAATCAGGGACACTCAGAAACCAAATATATAACTGACCCAACCGAAAAACCATGGTTCCACATTCATAATCTCTCAATACTCAGAGAGACAAATCACACACACCCACATGCCAAGCTTTGAACTTTGCCACGAATTCAAATTCCCAAAGTTTCAGCACGCGCGCGCTCCACAAATAGAGAGAACAGGCCAACTCGCTCACACTAGACATAGAGAGAGAACGACAAGATAGGGCACGAGATAGAGAGGCGATCGGATTGCTGGGTACCTGAGGTCTTTCGGCGACGGCGACGATAAGTGCTACGGTGGTGCGGCGCCGCTGCTCGTTGGGGAGTCCGACGACGGTGGCAGCAAGTAAAGCTGTGAGCGACTGAGGCGTTCGTTTGAGCCTTGGAGGTGGAAGCAAGAAGAAGCAAAATTTGTCATGACCTGCAACATTGACAAACGTAACAACTTGGCACGGCCCGGGCCCATTGGGCCGATAAAATGGGCCCGGTTGCAGCGACGCTTCACGGCCCATATCCACATCGATCCGGGCCTGATCGTGGGCCTTTTAGGCGGGTTCTCCTCTCCACTTCTTTGTGCTTATCACAGTTGAGTGAGGCCACGCTTCGCCGAATGAAGAATCTTAACCACTCCTTAGTTTTACAGTCGTCCGTCGTCCCTCGTACCGCCCGATGTTCGGGAGAGGATCGTTCTGTGACCGATGCCGACAATAGCTGGCTAAAACGTGGTCTTCGATGGACCATCCGAGGACTTCAATTGACGGTATAAATAGATGCTAAAACACCCCCCACCAAATTGAAGTCGCTAGTCATCGTTTTCTAATACATATTTTCAGAGTTCTCAACTTCAATGAGGATGGCTTCTCAATTCGCCATCCTTGCCATTGCTGTGCTTGTCGCCCTCCCGTCGGTCACCCTGGCGATGCAGTGGACCGTTGGAGACGGTAATGGCTGGACCATCAGCTACAATTACACAGATTGGGCTAAGGACAAAGTGTTCCGCGTCGGAGATAGTCTGTGTAAGTGAGCTCGGGTTTAATATTTCATGTCGTTTGAGGGCATCGTGGACACTTGAATGCAACTAGTTGGCAAAAAAAAGGTATCTATCGGCTTTGGTCGTTCCTAGTTTAATTATTGTTAAATTATTTGTTAAGTGTACGAAACTAGTCGCATTTTGTTTATTTGGCGGAGATAATTGATAATACTTTCTCTCATCGAGGAAAATACATTCCTTGACTATGGAAAGTTTTTCGGAAACTCACGTTTAGTCATCTCGTTAATTAACGAAATCTATCTCGACTCAGACTTAATATGTCGATATCTAATTGTCACAAATTATGTATCCCGATTAAATCTCTCGCAGTGTTCAGCTACCAATTCTGCGACCACAATGTGTTAATACTAAGCAACGCGACCGACTTCCAGGCGTGCAAGAAACCGTCGGCGAACGAGGCCCTCACCAGTGGCCGTGATGTCATCCCCCTTAATACTACCGGGGTCAAGTGGTACATCTGCGGGATCGGCGAGCACTGCACCAAGTTCAACCAGAAGCTCAAGATCACGGTCGTGGACGACACGTCAAGCGACAAGAAGTCGGGCACCGACGCCCTCGTTTCTTCCAGCTTCAAGATTCTTGCAGGCGCTATGGTTGCTCTTGTCCTGGTCACAGTATGATAACACGATGCATGTGTTCTTATGTTATAACAATAATTAAAAGCAAGGGAAAGCATATCATAATCATTTCCTATTAAAGTATAGTCATAGCTTGTGGTGGGTGGTGGGGGGCGATTGAGTTTTTTTGCATGAGCATTAGCAGCAGCCAGTCACAACTAAGTGACCCATGCCAGAAGATTTGGTTAACTATCTTAACTATTGTATTGATTCATTAAGAATGGTGCTATTTGGTGACTTCAGGGTGCTCGTTTCCTCTTACCACTCTTTCTTTTTTACGATTTTATTCGACAAAAACAGAGATCGTAATACAGTATATAACATATCAATACAGTATCTGCAATAGCCGATTGATCGTACCACGTACTAATTTAACAATAACACAAGATCAACCACTTTCGACAAATCTTTAACAAGATAGGTGAAAGCACTTTCAATCTAATCTAAAAGAGATGAAACCGCGGTCACGAGTTGGCAAAATCCAAGCTTTCGTTTTTGTAATTTCTGAGTCCATTAACACGTTGGGAAGGAGAATATCAATCCCGAAGACAAAAGTCACAAAAAGTAATAACTCGAATGCCCCAAGCTCTGGTCGGTCAGCATGTCAAGCTCGTTCAACTGAACTTATCTGCATGAGGCAACGTATGTTAGCTTAAAACACCAGGCGTCACACGGAGACTTCCTGCTTCTGGTTCACTTGCCAAATCCTCGTTCCTTCATGTTTACCAGATATTAACATGACGACATCGAACATTATAAAGATTTACATTGATTATTACATCATAGCATCAGGGCAATACGACTTCAAGAACTGCACCAGTGCAAGACATTGCATATTGTCGACGCATGGCAACGACATCGAAATCTAAGAAAGGAGACCTGAGAAAGAACAATCATTCAAGTGGTGGAATAATGCAAGAAAAGGATCAGTCGACGTGCCAAATGAATAAAGAAACCAGATTTAACATGGAGATGTCAACGCTAAATAGGTTCGATCATAATGGGATTAGCTTTTATGCATATCACCTCCGTCCCTCAACCATGTGAAGTTAATCTCACCTATAACAATGGACCTTTTGTGTCTAATTTATCGCTTATAAAAAAGAACCAAAGCAGGGCTAGATCATGTCTAACATGTCGTCTCTTCTGTTTTCTAGACTATTGTTGTCCAAAGGAGATCGTCAATGCATTTGGTGGACAGTGAACTCCCTCCTCAACCATATTCACCAGCGAATCCACCAATTAGCTACACGTTCTATCTGATGATAGCAAAAGGCTGGATTGCTTCTTACACCCTCTTGCATATACTTCTTCCAGAAACTGTTTTTTTGACAATGTCAAAATCCAAACTGAAGGCCATAATTCATGCGTTGACCTAGGAGTACTTCTTAATCCTATGAACCCGATGAGATTGATGCTAATTAGAGCTACTAGGTCGAATCAGACTCGGTAAGATGCCAGCCGATGAACTCGTGGGCTAGGTCCACGCGAACTAGATCGAGGTGAAAATTTCGACATTGACAAGAATAGTTCCTCGCTCGACGGACAATGACCCCATCGAAGCAAGGAAAGCACAAAGCACTCTTATCGCATAGCCATGAAAAAGGAGAGCGAGGACACGAGGTCGGGTCGTTTCACATTGTTTTCACCAAATTATGGAAACGAAAAAGAAAAACCACATTAAACACGTTCGATGACGTTTCTGTATCCAATGCCACGACACATAAATTGCCCACATTTGACGTGCGAGGACCGAAGACAGTAACTTCCACGATGCTTCCGTCGCAACATCGGCATCATCGTTGGAGTCGAAACCTTAGTTTTACAGTTGTCCGTCGTCTCTCGTACCTCCCAAAGTTCGTGAGAGGATCGTTCTGCGGCCGATGCCGACAATAGCCGGCTAAAACGTGGTCTTCGGTGGACCCTCCAAGGAATACACTTGACGGTATAAATAGATGCTCGCTCGAAGACCCCCCACCAAATTCACTTCACCAGTCATCCACTGATACAGTGTTTTCTGATACATATTTTCAGAGTTCTCAACTTCGATTAGAATGGCTTCTCAGTTCGCCATCCTTGCCATTGTTGCACTTGTCGCCCTCCCGTCGGTCGCCTTGGCGACGCAGTGGAACGTCGGAGATGGTAGCGGCTGGACCATCAACTACAATTACACGGATTGGGCTAAGGACAAAGTATTCCACGTCGGAGATAGTCTATGTAAGTGTGCTCAGCTTCAGTATTTCATGTCGTTTGAGGGCATCATGAACACTTGAACGCAACGAATTGGCAAAAAAAGTATCTATCGACTTTGGTCGTTCCTAGTTTGATTATTGTCAAATTACTTGTTAAGTATACTAAACCAGTCACATCTTATTTATTTGGCGGAGATAATTGATAATACTTTTTCTCGAGGAAAATGCATTCCTTGACTATGAAAAGTTTTCATAAACTCGTGTTTAGTCATCTCATCAATTAATGAAATCATCCCAACTTAGACTTGATATATCGATATCTAATTGTCACTAATTATGTATCCCGATTAACTCTCTCGTAGTGTTCAGCTACCAAGCGGGCAACCACAATGTGTTAAAAATAAGCAACGCGACCGACTTCCAGGCATGCAATAAACCGCCAGCGAACGAGGTCCTCACCAGTGGCCACGATGTCATCCCCCTTAATACTACCGGGGTCAAGTGGTACATCTGCGGGATCGGCGAGCACTGCACCAAGCTCAACCAGAAGCTCAAGATCACGGTCGTGGACGGCAACAGCACGGCAAGTGACAAGAAGTCGGGCGCCAACGCCCTCGTTTCTTCCAGCTTCAAGATTCTTGCGGCCGCTGTGGTTGCTCTTGTCCTGGTCACAGCTTGATAGCACGATGCATGCGTTCTTATGTTATAACCATAAATAAAAGCAAGGGAAAGCATATCATAATCATTTCCTTTCAAAGTATAGTCATAGCTTGTGGGGAGGGAAAGAATAAGAGCAAACTGAGTTTTTTTTTTTGCATGAGCATCAGCAGCAGCCAGTCAGAACTGAGTGGCCCATGCCAGAAGATTTGGTTAACTATCTTAACTATTGTATTGATCATTAAGAATGGTGCTATTTGGTGACTTCAGGGTGCTCTTTTCCTCTTACCACTCTTTTTTTTTTTTACAATTTTATTCGACAAGAACAGAGATCGTGATATGGTATAAAACTTATCAGTACGGTATCTAAAATAGCCAATTGATCGTACCATGTCCTAGTTTAACAATAACACAAGATCAACCACCGTCGACACAATCTTTAACACGATAGGTGAAAGCACTTTCGGTCTAATCTAAAAGATATGAAATCGCGGTCACGAGTTGGCAAAACCCAAGCTTTCGTTTTTCTAGTTTATGAGTCCATTAACAAGTTCGGAAGAACAACATCAATCATTGTATAACCATTGCTTATATAATGTGAAATAGCGTGAAATGTTACGTAGATGATTTGAATAATGCGAAATATCGTGAAATGTGACGTAGATGATTTGAAAACTCAACTTCACTTTTAGAGGAATTACCAAACTATCAATCCCGATTGCCAAGACAATCAAGTTAGTCCTGTGATCAATTTAAAATTTCTCAGTAATTTATATGTAAAGTTTACGTACTTCGGTGACAAAAGATTGAATTAGATCTCCTGGAACTCCGCGAATGTGCACGAGCACTGCCGATTCCCCGAAGACAAAAGTCACCAAAAGTAATAACTCGAATGCCCCAAGCTCTGGTCAGTCAGCATGTCAAGCTCGTTCAACTGAACCTATCTGCATGAGGCAGCGTATGTTAGCTTAAAACACCAGGCGTCACACAGAGACTTCTTGCTTCTGGTTCACTTACCAAGTCCTCATTCCTTCATATTTACCAGATATTAACAGGACGATATCGAACATTAAAAAGATTTAGATTGATCATTACATCACAGCATCAGGGCAATAGGAATTCAAGAACTGCACCGGTGCAAGACAATGCATATTGTCGACGCATGGCAACGACATCAAAATCCAAGAAAGGAGACTTGAGAAAGAACGATCATTCAAGCGGTGGAATAATGCAAGAAAAGGATCAGTCGACATGCCAAATGAACCGAGAAATCAGATTTAACATGGAGATGTCAACGATAAATAGGTTCGATCATAATGGGATTAGCTTTTATGCATATCACCTCCGTCCCTCAACCATGTGAAGTTAATCTCACCTATAACAATGGACCGTTTGTGTCTAATTATCACTTAACAAAAAAGAACCAAAGTGGGGTTAGATCATGTCTAACATCTCGTCTCTTCTGTGTCCTGGACTATTGTTGTCCAAAGGAGATGGTGGATGCATTTGGTGGACAGTGAATTTCCTCAACCGTATTCATCAGTGAATCGACCAATTAGCTGCATGTTCTATCTAATGATAGCAAAAGGTTGTATTGCTTCTTACTCCCTCTTGCACATACTTCTTCAAGAAACTGTTTTTTTGAAAATGTCAAAATCCAAGTTGAAGGCCAGAATTCATGCGTTGACCTAGGAGTGCTTCTTAATCCTATGTACCCGATGGGATTGTTGCTAATTAGAGCTACTGAGTTGAATCGAACTTGGTAAGATGCCAGCCGATGAACTCACGGGCTAGGTCCACGCGGACTAGATCAAGGTGAGAATTTCGACATTGACAAGAATAGTTCCTCACTCGACCGACAATGACCCGATTGAAGCAAGGAAAGCACAAAGCACTCCATCGCATTGCCATGATAGGAGAGCGAGGACGAGCTCAGATTGTTTTACATTTTTCTCACCAAATTATCGAAACAATAAACAAAAACCACATTAAACACGTTCGATTGCATTTCTTCATCCCATGCCACGACACATTAATTGCCCACATTTTACGTGCGAGGACCGAAGACGGTAACTTCCACGACGATGTTTCCATCGCAACATCCGATCGTCATTGGAGTTGAAACCTTAGTTTTACAGTTGTCCCTCTATCTCGTACCTCCCAAAGTTCGTGAGAGGATCGTTCTGCGACCGAAGCCGGCAATAGCCGGCTAAAACGTGGTCTTCGGTGGACCCTCCAAGGACTTCATTTGACAGTATAATTAGATGCTCGAAGGCCCCCCACCAAATTCACCTCACTGGTCATCCACTGATACGAAGTGTTTTCTGATACATACCTTAGAGTTCTCAACTTCAATCAGAATGGCTTCTCAGTTCGCCATCCTTGCCATTGTTGCGCTTGTTGCCCTCCCGTCGGTCGCCTTGGCGACGCAGTGGACCGTTGGAGACGATAACGGCTGGACCATTTACTACAATTACACGGATTGGGCTAAGGACAAAGTGTTTCGAGTCGGAGATAGTCTATGTAAGTAAGCTCGGGCTCAGTATTTCATGTCGTTTGGGAGCATCGTGGACACTTGAATGCAGTTAATTGGCAAAAAAATTATCCATCAACTTTGGTCGATCCTAGCTTGATTATTGCCAAATTACTTATTACGTGTACAAAATCAGTCACATCTTGTTTATTTGGCCGAGATAATTGATAATGCTTTCTCTCATTGAGGACAACTTATTCCTTGACAATGAAATTTCAAAAAACTCGCGTTTAGTCATATCGTCAATTTAAGGAAATCTATTTCAACTAGACTTGATATATGGATATCAAATTGTCACTAATTATGTATTCCGATTAACTCTCTCGCAGTGTTCAACTATCAAGTGGGCAACCACAATGTGTTCAAAGTGAACATGACCGACTTCCAAGCGTGCAACATCCCGCCGGCGTATGAGGCCTTGGCAACTGGCCATGATGTCATCCCTCTTACGGCTCCCGGGGTCAAGTGGTACATCTGCGGGATCGGTTAGCACTGCGCCAATTTCAACCAGAAGCTCAGGATCACCGTTGTGGACAACGCCGAAGGTCCAGCTCCGCCACCGGCCGCTCCCACGCCAAGTGACTCCCGTGCCAAGTGACAAGACCTCAGGCGCCAACACCTTCGTTTCGTCCAGCTTCAAGATTCTTGCGGCCGCTGTGGTTGCTCTTGTCCCGGTCTCAGGTTGATAACAAGATGCATGCGTTCTTATGTTATAACAATAACATCATAATCATTTCCTTTGGAAGTATGGTCATAGCTTGTGGGGGGAGAAAATAAGACAAAAATTGAGTTTTTTTTCATAAGCATTAACAGCAGCCAGTCACAGCTGAGTGGCCTATGCGAGAAGATTTGGTTAACTATCTTAATTATTGTATCGATTCATAAGAATGGGGCAATGTGGTGACTTCAGGGTGCTCTTTTCCTCTTACCACTCCTTTTTTTTTCCAATTTTATTCGACAAAAACAGAGATTGCGATACGATATATAGATTATCTATACGATATTTGAAATAACCAATTGATCGTACCTCGTCCTAGTTTAACATTAATACAACATCGACCACCTTTGACACAATCTTCAACATGGAAGATGAAAGCACTTTCAAACTAATCTAACATATATGAGATCGTGGTCACGCGTCAGCAAAACCCAAGCTTTTTTTTTTTCTTGTGCTGAGTCCATTAACACGTACGGAAGAACAACACCAATCATCGTATAACCATACTTATTTAATCATGTGAAATATCGTGACACGTTAAGCAAATAATTTAAAAACTCGATTTCATTTGTAGAGAAATTACCGAACGATTAATGCCAATTGCCAAGACAATCAAGTTAGACCTGTGATCAATTTGAATTCTCAATTTTTCGGTGTGAGCATCCGCAGCAGCTAATCACATTGAGTTGCCCATGCCAGAAGATATTTCTGACATCCTTTTATTTGGATATATTTAATTATCTTAATTATTTTATTGACTCCTTTCCTTTCATCACTCCTTAATAGACCACGACAAAAATCATGATACAATATCTAAAATATCAAAATGGTATCTGAAATTACCAATTGAGAGATATCGATTTTTCGGAATACTGGAAATTGTTGTATTTTAATTTGACAAGTAGTTTTCCATGCCATTTTTTTTCGGTTTCTGGCCATATTTTGAGTCGGTGAAATCTAGGATCTTTTAGTACTTTGAAATGATTTTCTTTTGATAGTAAGTCTGCTTAAATCCGAGTTTGGTAGAGAGAAATATGGTGCGAAAAATTTTGTCACGGAACTGGCTATTCGTCATGATTGGCTATTCTTGAGATCTTTTATTGACCCATAGTAAACGATTTGACTCCAAGATAGCATCGCCTAGTCGACTCTTTGTTAAAGTAGTTATTTACTTGGGTTTTAACATCGTAATTTGTTTGATTGATAGGATTTTGAGTTCATCGGTTTGAATAGCTTTCATTGTTTAGTTTTGGCATGTCCACTTGAATGGTGCTTATCTTTTATCTTTTTTTTTTAAATTTGAAAACTCATATTTTATAAAATGATAAGAATTAGTAAAAGGCAAAAGTGATGTTTAAAACGTATTTGTTGCATAAAAATTGGATCGGACATTTAAGATCATTTTTGGTTATTTGAGATGGAATTTGGAGTTGATATGTGTGAAGGATTAGATAGTGGTTTGCTGCTCATTGTGGCTATGTTTAGAACCCATTGAAGGGTTGAGTATACATACTATTTTCGACAGATTGATATAGGTGAGACCCAGCCAGGGAGAATCTTGGCCGCCTTTGTCACGAAGCGTTAAGTGTGACCATAGTCGGATATTGAGCACTAGATCAATTAATACCATTGATGTTTAATTTGATATTATTGATTAAATGAGTATTTCTCATACGTGTAAAGTTTTGTTGCAAGGATATAACTCATTTTTTTTATATTGTATGTATATTATAGTGTATTTGAGATAAAAGAGTTATTGGTATTTTGTTATAATAATGCACAGTGGATTATTGATCTGCTTAGAAAAGATTTATACTATCTATTGAATTGTGATTGGTGTTGATAGTTGGTTAGTAAAACAAACAAAGAGGTGTTTTATCCCACATTGGAAAAGATGCGAGTGTGTGGGACAATACATAAATATGGAAGTCTTCTAGCCTATAATTGTAGACCTTGGGTTAAGTGATTGTATCTTACAATACTCGCGTGTGGGTACGCAATTATTAGAAACACTTATTAACTTTCTCGTTTAATTCTTTTTCACTTTCGATTTTCGTTTCTTTATTAAAAAAATACAACATTTATTCTCTAATTGTTACATTTTCAGAGTTCGTGGAGAAGTACCAGAATTGCTATACGAAGTTCTCATTTTGAGACTTTCCATCTCGGAGAATTTTGCCGATAAACATTAGCAATCTTCTGGGGTAAACAATTCCTTAAAGACAGTGTTTTCACGTCTCAAAAGTTTAATTTCGTGATTTGCGATTATTTTTCTAGCAGTTGCCGACTCCATTCATTCCAAATTAGATTCTTCATGTAGCACCAATTCGGACGAGAGCTACATCGACAAAGAATTTTTTTTTATAGTTAAACTTTTGGGTTGAGTTGAGATTGCTGAATATACGTCGGAAATGATATTTATGGAGCTTTACGTTGCTAGTTTGAAAAATTGCATATTGCTTTTGGTGGATATTTTAGAACTCCGATTCCATGAGCAACTCTCTGTTTTATCAGGTCCCTATATGAATATGTATAACAGGATGATGTCGGTTCGTGTTTAAGTTGCGTCCTTCGGTAGGACAACGACCTGTCATTTTCCCCTATTCTTGTAGGAGTCGGGGTGCCGTGTAAGGTTACTTGTTTGTTTTTTGAATTCGATTGACTCAATATTTTCCATGCAATGGCGAAACCGCTAAACACTTCTCGGGTACGACGATCGTAGATCGGCGAGCGTGTCGATGCGCAGACAACCGAAAGTTTCTCGGCCGGCGGCGGCATCGGCCTCGGAGGGCCGACCTTTCTTCTCGGAAGGCGAAAGTGAAGGAGGGGGCGACGCCGGGAGGAGCAAGAAAGTACAGAGAAAGAACCTCGAATCTTTGATAGCCAAGCAATCGTGTTAATTTGTCATGGAATCCTCTTCTCCTGATGAAACTAATCCTTTACTTTATAATCACCTTGAAATTTATTAAAAAGAAGCGACATTTCTTCCTAGGAACAATTCGAGTGGAGAACAAATTTCATGTGAACAAGGCAAAGGAGTCTTTGCATTTCTGGATTGACCGTTACGAGCACAAGTTGCGTCATAAAATCAGATATCTCCAAGTCAAGAACCCGCCAACTCCGACCCCGACCAGCGCCGCCACCGCCGCCAGAACCAGCAGAACCCTCTTCTTGTCGATACCCACGACCCATGACGGCGCCCTGAGCCACAGCATACCGTCGTTCGTCCCGCCCGGCGCCGCCACGGCGGCCGCCGCCGGCTTCCCGCTGCCGCTCCGCCCCAGCCCACCGCCTGTTTGTGGTTTTACCTGCGTGGCATCGGCGGCCTGGGGAGGCCTCTCCTTGAGCAATATGACGTGGAGGACGTCGCCGGCCAGCTTGGCGCGGGTTTCGTTGAGCTTGTACTTGTTCGGGAGCTTGAATTCTTTGCGGAACCGGCTCCATCTCCGGTCGTCGAGAGGGCGTTCGCCGGTGACGGTCAGGGCCCCGGAGCTGCTGGCTTGGACCCGGAGTTGGTCCTTCTTGAAACCTGCATGAAAGTTGGTAGAGATTGTGATGATAGACGTAAAAGCTTAAGGTACTAGGAGATGAGATCCGACATGATTTTGTTTTAGCATTGTCTCAGTTGGAGTTGGAAGGGCATTATCACTGCAGATTTCTGTGGAGGCTGGATTCGACGCACGTCAAGATCTGGGCTTGGACGCTTTGCTCACACGTTTGTAAAGAACATATATAGATGTACATTGTTACACGAAGTGACCTCTCTCTTTTTCTATCCTTAGTTAATTGATGCTGACTGAATTGTTCATTGTTTCGTTAACATATTATGACCCGATCTGTGCGATTTGTAAGTTTTATGGCTGAGAGAGACGGGAGAGAGATTTGCCTCCGGCGCTCAATGATTGAAACTCCATACAACTCAAAGCAGGCATGGGCTGGTTGTTCGATCGGGTAAAGATGATGTGCACACATACTGACCCTCAAGCAACATAGCGTTATTTTCAGGAGGAAAAGAGCCCCGATTTGATCATACTATATTTTCACCAATAATGCAAGTAGATGATCCTTCTGTTTGTGCTTGTTTTGACATGTAAATTTAGTGCTGCCATTGTATCTTCAGCACCTTCCTGCATTTGTATCTAGAGCATTCGTATGAAAGAACTAGAATTTCTTCAGAAAGAACATTTTCCCTGAGCTCGGAATTGCAGGGTATCGCAGTGAGTTAACTCTAACGTCATGGAACAACGGGTTCATGAAGTACCTTGGACATGGAGCTCGATAATATCACGCCCTTCCTCATTGTTCCATTTGCATTCAGGCTCGAAATCCTCGTAAACGCGCTTGGAGGGGGCGGCAGCCTTGCTTTTCATGGTATACTTTCCTTATTTGGTGTATTTTTATCTGTTAAGATGTGTATGAGAAGGGATGTTTTTATTGGTCGAGTGGAGGCTTTTTCTCCTCTCTCTCTTCTTCTCTTTTTATAGGTCAAGGTGTTCGAGAGGAATAGGATTCTTTTGCACTGATAGTTGAGAAGAACAATGATTCCTTTATTTAGTTAAAGGCTTTAGATGGTTTGTGATCTCCTCTTGTGGGGGCAATGAAAAAGTTCTGATCAATATTCTTGCCTTGACACGCAGGCAATCATAGGGAGAGCATGCCTCTAAGACATTGGTGCAAGGAACCTTACGAAATTAAAAGACAAGTCATGGATTCTTCGCCCAATGTTCTTCGCCATTGCTTTGTTTGATGAAGACGTGCGTGCTTGCAATGCCCTTATTCTGCTGCGCCCTGAGCTCCCTGGAAGATATACGATTGGCAACGTCCCATTTTAATCTTGCTTCCTCCTTAATTTTTGTGTATCTTTTACATACTTGGGTAATGGGATTAACAAAAACTCTTAACTAAAGAGAGACGGAGTTAAAATTCTTCAGTATCAGGTTGACTTTGTTCTTAGTATATACATGTTTCCTTTGTATTGATGAATCTGCACACTCCTATTGTTACAGAACAAATTCCCTATATTTCTGCAGTACTGAATGATAGATACAGTTCTGACCAAAAAAAAAAAAAGAACGATAGATACAACATTCTGTGGACCACAAATCGTGGGCTTGCCTTTAGGCATTTCTCCTCTCTCTTGAGTTTTGAGAAATTGTTGTTTACTTTAATTTGTGAGCGTAGTACTAAGTGAATATACACATGATCTAAGTTAATGGAGTAGAAGATACGGGTATGATCTTGAGTGATACCGATGATTAAAGAAATTGTACAGATGACGACCAAATATTTGTGACAAACATTGAGTAACCATTGATCACAAATTACTCTTCCAGATTGCGTTCTTTGCCAATCAATGTCGATTAACGATCACATTCTCGACATCAATACACCGAACAGGACCCTCGTGTGAAGGTTAAAGGGCAAGAGCCCAGAGGAAAGAAAAAAAATGTACTTGTACTTTACGTGAAAGATTGTGCTTTTACTTTCCGAAGCCATTCTGAAAAAGTCCTCTGCTTAGTGTTCTTCAGTCTGAAAGTTCCGAGGAAAGAAAGCTGGCACTATAGCATCAAAAGTAACTTCATAGTGGAGAGCAACACGATGTGATTCTTTAGCCATCCCTCTCAATTTACTGCTCTGCTAAAAAACTTAACGCCATCTAATGGACTCTATACATGCTCAATAACAACCTCGATGAAATTCAACAGTCTGTCCTAATCACTTCCTTGATTCAAACCATGGAAAAGGTTGGAACTTGATGCGGCAGGAGATGTTTTGGCGGCCAATGCAACCAGAAAGTCTCTGTAATCCCCACACACAACGCTCTGGCAAATGCAGTCCTGGATCTCCACACCGTATTTTCTCTTGAAAGCTCTCCGTATCTCGCTCATGTCTAGCTCTGCCCGACTCACCATCACTCGTGTTAATGCGCTCTTATCGATAGTCCTTCCCTTGAGGCTCGTGTATAGCATCTGCAAGACACGAGTAGCAGAGTTTCAGCAGACCTTTTATTTTTTTCCAAATTCAAACGTGTTTCATATATCTTGCTCTGTTTTTTTACATGGTTGAACTTCTAATTCTGAAGCCGATCTCCGAGCGTTTATGATGGAAAATAGCAGTGATGACCTTGGCATAGTATTTGGGTGCGTTGGAGATGTATTTCACGACCGTTCGAAGAGCATCCACGAACTCCGTGGCGCTTACTTTCTTGAGTGACTGCACAGCATCACAAAATGAAGTTTGTTAGATAAGACTTGTATGATTCGGTCCTAGGATTAACAGGAAAACAGAGCGATTACGTATAAATTCAGGACCAAAAGAATGTGACTTGTTCCCGACTATTTCAACATTCAATCCAAGGCAAGGTCAGAGCATGATCGATAAACAAGAAAAAAACATTTGAACTTTGAGAGAGCATGAGACAGACCTCGGAGTAATCATGTCCATAAATATGCCTGTAGCTCAAAAAAGTGAGCTTTAGCTGGGGAATGCTCCTCTTGCTTACTGTCTCCAACACGACAGCTTCTTCAATCGCTCCCGACGAGCGTCCCTCGCCAGTTTCATAGAGTCTGCGAGCATCGCACTTGGCGAGATGTTGGCTAACATCTGCTTGGTGTGCTTTGTGGGACGTGGCAAGTGCTATAAGAATCTGTTATACCAAATATCTATCGACATAAACATTTGTAGGTGAACAATAGAAACCGATTTAAAGTGACGAGTTCGTGTTTTCGCTTTCGTGTTTGCTTCTATACAGACAATGAACACCAGCCGGAGTGCAAGCTCTTCTGTTTCAGTGACAAGTTTTTTAAGGACAAATTATCAAGAAAATGTCACATGCCAATGCAAGTTCCACAAAGCTAGATTGACCCGTATCTGTTTACCCTTTGGAAAGCATGAGGAGGCTCAATGTTGATGATGTCTTGCTCCAACTGCCTTCTGAATTTCCTCTGATAAGCTTGCCTGATCAGCTGTATATGACTCGACTTTCGACCCAGAAAGATCTCCACGAGAGCCCTATAATTGGTCTCCCCTTGCTCGAGCGCTTCCCGGGCCAAGACCGCGTCCCGCTCGCGCGGGTCGAGCATGAACAGCGACAACGCCGAGCTCGTCTCCGGCGACATTGCGACGGCGCCATCCCTCTGGCCGTCCACGCCGGTGCTCTGGAGAAGTTGCACCACCAAGTCATCACCATCACCATGTATTTCGGTGGCCATTGATGGAGAAACAGAGGGAGCTATAGCACAGGCATAAAACACACTCTTCCAATCCCACCAGCTGCTTTATTCAATGTGATTCCGAGTCCTTGCCCTGGACCTTTTTGAGTGTACAAGTGTTTACTGGGGGAGGGAGTTCAAGATATCGTTATCGCGTGACTTCGGTACACATGAGCCCAAATGGTCTCAGCCATTGGATCATGCAAACTTCACATGAACCCACATGATCCAACGACCCGGGTTCATACCTAGTGACAGCATGCGTATATTGCTCGAGTTTGAGGCTTTTATTATTTTATTTTATTTTGGCAAAAGCCACCAAAAACTCCAAAATATATCCATTGCCACACATTTACCATAAAATTTACCCATATTTGTATCCGTGTGACATATTTACTCTCCGTCAAAGTTTCGTCAATAAGGACCGTTAAAAATCTACCTATAATAAAATTTTATTGACATGACGCCTAAAAACAACGTTATTTTGACTAAAAATCATCTGACGGAACCTTGATAGAAGATAAATACGTCACATAAGTACAAGTTTGGGGCTTTTTAGGGTGAATGTGTCACAATGGGTATAGTTTCGGAGTTTTTATATCATAAAAAAAAATTCAGGGTAAATTTGTCAGGTAAGCAAAATTTAGGGTTTTTTTGTGACTTTTTCTTTTTTTTTAGGCCCATAAATTAAAGGTTTCATTTGGGAATGAGGGAGAGGAGGGGGAAAAATGAGAAATGGGTGTAAAAATATAAATAAAAATGTGAATTTTTTTGTGAGGAAGGGAGAAAAATTTTCCCACCTGTCAAACACATCCTAAAAGGGTGTGGGTGTCAATGAAAGAAGAAAGAAAAAGGAAAACTTGTCTGGGGTGATCAGAAAGTGGTGTGTAACAGGGTGGATTGCTTGGGCATGTGGCATGCGGCATGTGGGATGTGGCATGTGGGTTTTGTTTGGTAGCACTGGAGTAATGGGATTCCCAGTAGACCATGAGTGAGAGATGATGCTCTTTTTTGACAACTTTCCGAAGTCCCATCCCCACTTCAGAAAAGTATGGCATAGACTAATTCAACGTCTTTTTGGTATAATAGAACACGAAATTCAATGTAATCGGCATGGCTTGTTCACGTACAACACCGTCTTCGGCCCGCCTAGATAGATAGACTAGTCGAGGAGAAATTATTGTCTAGATCTAGATCCGCATATTAGATACGCGATACTATTGAATTTCATGAGACCCACGTGGAATTCGCGCAATCGAACAGTTATGCATGTCTTGATCCGATCGACGGCTATGCACGATTTCCATAAAGGATTAGTGTATAATATTTTCTCCAGCTGCTTAGGTTTCTTCTATTGGCAAGGGTGGTGGCATGCACTAATCCAAAGCCTACAGCTAGGACTCAAGCTTCTTGAAAAGTTTCCTTGTCCCCCATATGCAATTGGTGATGAAGTTGACAAAAAGCACTATTCCACGCGTGGGAAGCTTTAGCTTTGAATTTCTTTTGCATCCATCTAGCGTAATTTAATGTCACTTGATTGGGTTCTTTTGCTCTTGTCGCTAGCCCAATTGCGCATGAGATCCCAATGTCAGTAATGTTTTTATATGTGGAAATAATAAGGTTTATCAACAAGCTGAAAATGACATATTCAGCTAATTGTTATTGTTAACAAGATTTCGAATGACTTTGAATGTCAATACGTGTGTATTTCAAAGATTGGAACTGCTTGACATGAAAAAGAATATTTTGAACCTCATAATGTAAAAGCAAAAGTACCGAAAGTAAAAAAATTAAAAGGAAAGTTACCGGGGCAATCTTCATTTTGAATTTCGACCGAAAAAAAAAACCTTCATTTTTGAAAATTTGGCGTAATTGGGAGAGACGCATATGTCGGAAGGTGAACCCTTGCAATTTCGAAGTCGTTGGGGAACGGTCGCTCTACCTGTCATGTTGGACATCATATTAGAGCCCAGATAAGAGGCGTCAGCAACTAATGCGGAAGCGTATACAAACGAAATTATTCGAGTGATAAATAAATTCTATAAAATAAACCCGAACAATGGGAGGTTTACATGGTTCGATATTGTATCTACTTCACGGAAAGAACCAATGAGGTTCTTTTACTAAAACTAATAAAAGGAGATTACAATCGTTCAGTTATACTCGTATTCCAGTGTTTCCCAATTCCAATTATACCCAGGTTTTTCACAAGATTTAATTTCATCAAGTGCCCTGCCAGATGCCCCATTTTTCCAAGCACATGAGGGACCTCCGAATCCGTCTTTCACTCCCTGGGCGTTGAATTGCAAGTTATACTAACAGTCCGGATGTCCCCAAAACCTCATAACTCAATGCCGATTCCAAATCGAATGGGCATACTTCAAACCACAAAAACACAAAAGATTGGCAACTTGATAATCCCGAGTTCGACGTATTGGATAATGCTTGACTAGCTTGATGCATACCCGATTATATGAAGTGAGTCGGGCCAGGCCAGGATGATCGCGGATCAGTTCCATCCTATGGTCGAGCATACTTACTCGATGGATTATGCGAACATGGAAATAGTCGCGATTATGGAAGGTGGTTCTAATTTCATGACCCTACCGTGATTATAGTTGAGCCCAACTTGGGCCTACCCATTGAACGTTGGACTAATGTTAAACCTCACGGGCACAAAAACAATACCTCAATGACAAGACCAAGTGGATCAAATTAATCACAAAGCGAAAAAAGAAGAAGTTATAATCCGACAATAATGCGTGCAAAAAAAATGACAAAACTTGGAAAAAAAAATCACATACGGGGCGTCGAAACAGTCTTTTAGTGGGAACAAATACCAAAAAAAAAACGGAGGGAGTTTCTCCAGGCCACGTCTGATTCCTCGTCGTCCACTTTGCTGCGCTGATTAATGACTTCCAGTCATCAATCCAGTCACGAGCATGGACAATTTTGTGGTCAACTGTTCAAGGTTGTCGCTGTCGGTACAGGGTATCAGAGCAGAAGACGGGGTAGACCCGAATTGCTTGCCCAAATCATCGCGCGATAATTATCAAATATTAATGTCGATTGCCCCAAGAAGAGAGAGAATAAAACAGGAAATTGAAGACGACCACTGCATCAGATTCGTGATAGCTTATCATGTGGCGATTTATAAGCGATAAGCCAATCCAAGAGTAATGCAATGGAACAAACAGGGCAGTCTTCTGGCGTGGAGGTAGATCCCCTTGAAAGGGGGAAAAAAATACCTTAAAAAATTATAATTGGGTGGGTATGATTTTCTTTTATTTAAAAATTTTGGGATTTGGAATCAAAATGGTTTTGATGTTTTGGTTTAAAATCTGGCAAAGCAAATGAATCTGAACATCACCCATAGAGTTTTCATTCTTTTCGAATTTATGGTCCGTTTATTTTAATAAAATATGAATGATCTAGAAAATATTTTCCTAAAATCGATTATTTGTATTGCTTGAAATAATTAGCTGATGAAAAATATTTTCACTATCGACAGTAATTTATGTCTAAATATTTTAGTTCATTCATTTTTGTAAACGGTACAAGCGGTCATTTTTTTCCATGAAACAAACGCACACTTAGTGAATTCTTCTTCTTCATTCTTTGATTGTAAACTCAAAAGGGATCAAAAGGCCATTGAACTCTTTGTCTGCATTTCAACCCGCTTTTACTAGTCACGTATTCCTTTTTAGCAAAACATTAGCATTCATATTTATTAAAATAATTAAAGCTTTTAGAATAGTTGAAAAATGATCCCGTAAATTTTTTGAGTATTGAAATAAAGCATAAGATTCTTGCTCTGAATACATTATAGTTTTATCTAAAGTTTATCATGCAATATTAAGGTTGGGTGGTGTGTTATAATTGTTAGCCAACCAATCGTGTGTTCTTTGACGCTAAATAAGAAAATACTCTAATTGGTTGTCGTGCATTGTAAAATAACAAATCATTATAAAATTAATTATATTTGCATGAAATAAGGATGAAATGGTCATGTGAAGCATCTTGTTAAAAGGGCGATCTATGAAGAGTAATTATTGTTTTGAAAATTGGATATTTTTTATTAATTATTTTTTTATGCAACTGTGAGACACTCCTTAATAATACCATAAAATGAGAAAATAAGAAAAAAGGGAAAAAGAGGAAAAAAAAAAATAAATGTGGGGGGGAAATTGAGTATGGGGACCAAGATAACGTACAATGTCGGAACAAGGTCAAGTCTGCTCTCAAAAGTCGCGCAATTTGACCAAGAAAGGTCTCAATTGGTTTTCGGAGCCATATCGTCGAATTTAAATTGACCAATCTGCCCTTCCTGATGCGCAGTAATTACTTCCTAATTTTCCCCACGGGGAGGACGGTGGTCCTCTTCGCACTGGAGGCGAGAATACGGTGTCGTCTCCATCAGCATCGATTGAAATGGAAATTACACCTAACTCCCCGACCTTTGCGTAAATACTGAATAGGAGACAGCAATCTCAACCGAGCCTATCCGAGTAAATACTAAATGAGATGTATAAAAATCATATGATTTTTAAAAAGTGTTTGAGAAACTATTTTGTGAATGGATGTATCGGCGTTTAAAAAAAACGTTTCATGTGTTTTTAGATTAACAAAATAAATAAATATGTGCGAGCATGCGAAATTTTCATTAAGTGAAAAATACAAAGTAAAAAAAACAAAGGGAACGCCCTAAATTAGGGGTGATTGGTTTTAGGGTAGCCAGTTCCTAGCTCTCCGGTGGGTCCAGGAACCAGTCGTTGTCTCCTTTTTTTTTTTCCTATTACCCGCAAAACTGTAAGTATTATTACATAGTTTAAACACGAGTAATGTTAATAAAATAAGCTTGTGATAAGCTACACATGATGATCATATAATCATCAAGAACCAAGTGCGAGAGGCGTCGAGCTGTGAGAGAGGCGTAATCATTACATGACTGAAACTAAAAGAAGTGAGAGCAAAAGGCAAGAGGGATGAGCTTGCGTGACTAGGTCTGAGCGAGAAAATAATGTAAATTAGGGTTTTGAAAATTTAAAATAACAAGAATTAAAAAAATTCGGTCTAGTTCGAGTGGTCGAGTGGATGGGTCCACACCTAGAACTAGGAACTGCACTGATATTCCTTAGTTCCAAATTTTTGGAATTAAGAAGCGCTCAAAACCAATCGATTCGGTTCTTTGACTCACTCCGACTCTAACTACGTTGTCAAACTCTTTGATTTGGCATTTTAACCCTACAATTTTTTTTTTGAAAGAGTTCAATTACCTGCTCTATGTAATTTCTCTACAAGATAAATCCAAAGAAAAACTCTATGATTAACTGTTCGAATACTGATAAAAAAAAACAGTTTCAGACTTAAAGTCGGGGTGTAGTTTTCCCTTGCAAAAAATAAAACGAAAAGGCAAAAGCGAAAATATCCGGAGATTGCAGGGGCATTTACGGCATCTCGGCATCTCCACAAATTTTTGCATTCCCTGCTCCGCTTATGCTCTCGTGCTCACATTCTGTTTTACTCTCAGGTCGGGGAGGTCCTGCTGCTTTGTCTCCGCTCTGTTCTTCCCTCTCTCCCTCTCCGAGCTCTCTCTCCGAGCTCTCCAATCGAAGGACGCTCGCCTGCCTCCGCATTCCAAAGAGGCGTCCCTCTCGCCGCCACCGCCGCCGCCGCCGCCGGTAGCAATGCAGGTCCTTCTCGCAGCTCAATCCGAACCTCCTTCAGCAGCTCGCCGGAGCTCATAGCTGCATGCTGGATTTTTTGAGTTTCCGTTTGTGCTCATCTCGATCGGTTTCCGCGTGTTGTGACAGCAAACCAGAACGGTCGAGGTGCGGAACCTGTCAGATCTAGCCACCGAGCGGGAGATTCACGAGTTCTTCTCCTTCTCCGGCGACATCGAGCGCATTGAGATCCGACGGTACGTTGCTCCGCCGCTGCGCCTGCGGTTTGCTTCCGCTTGCGGGTGTTCGCTCGGCGGCATCGAAGGAATGTCGGTGGAGATGAGGAGTTTTGTAATCCCTGCGCTTCGATTTTGTTTTTCGGAGCGTGGAAGGCTCAATGATTGTTCTCCTCGTTCTTTCTTTCCCTTCAGCTCGGGAATTTTTAGCTCTTTGCGTAGCCTGTGCGTGCATAAGCAAATCTCTGTGTTATTGTTCCCATTTAGACTTGCGAAAGAGCTAGTTCAATTCGAGCTAGTGTAGTTGCACATCTGAGGAAAAGAAAGGAGGAAAGAATTCTAACGAGGTTTTCGTGGTGTAGGGAAAGCGGACAGTCGAGCACTGCTTATGTGACGTTCAAAGATCCAAAGGCACTGGAAATTGCGCTCTTGTTATCGGTACGTGCTCCTCGCGAATTGAAATCGCTTTTCTGTGCACATTCATTCTGCTGAGGCATTTTACCCATATCGATTGCATTTCATTACTCGGACTTTACTTGTATTGCACCTTTTCTGAACAATGCTTCAGAGTTAAGAGGAAGTTAGGCCTACCTTCAGACTCAATTGGTGTTTTTCTATTATGTTTCAATTAGCTTTCTGGAAGTAACTGTGTCATCTGTGTTACACGTCACGCGCAACAAACCTTTCTTCTAGATTGTAGTTAACCATCCGGTCCATGAGGATTTGCAGTTATCTGCCAAATTTTATGGGAAGTTTTAGTTGCCTATCTTTTAGGTTCCATAAGATTTCCTGTTTTCCCTAGCATAGAATTCCTGTTCTTGTTTACTAATCTTTTTCGAGGAATTCTCAGTGATTTTTAATATGTGCAATAGATTGCCTGGGGTGGCTCATTTTTCGGCTTTTCTTTTAAAACTGGAAAAAAAACTAAGTAACTATCATAGTGGATACTCTTTGGTAAGTTAAAATTAAACACATACTATAGTATCTTATCTGTGCAATTACTAATGATCTGGATTTCTAGAGTCTTTCATGTACTTAAGAGTGATGCCACTTTAGGCTCGTTAAAAGTTGATAGGTCTTAGTCTTATCCATGAAAAAGAAAACTCAAAATGAAGAAGGTGCTTTTCTCATGGTGGGAAGAGAGGTTAACGCAGCCACCAATGGGTGGGTGTGGGAAGAGAGGTTTATCACCATAAAAAATGATTAACGCTCTTTCGAGGATGCATTAGCGAAAGATACCAACCTTCACTTTTATCTTCTGTGCTAATATCATTGGTAATATTTTCGCCGTCTAGTTCTCCACCTTCAGTACAACACTACGGCTAGTTTGAAACAGGCGAAAACTTTTAATGTTGAAGCCCTGCCTATTGAAGTATATGTTGTGTTGCAGGGAGCAACTCTTGTAGATCGGATTGTTAATATAAGTGCGATCGAGAACTATGTACCACAACGTGACATGCAGGTAGCCATTTACCCTGCTATCTGTCCTTGGAATTCTTGACAGACGCAATCAAAATTTTTCAACTCTATACGTGCAGGAAGTGAGGATGGTGGACAATGCGGTGTCTGTTGCCCCTACTGAATTCGTTGTCTCCGATGTTGAGGTAAAGAAAAATGCTAGCGCAGTTCTCATCTAATATAATTAGTGGAACACATTAAGATAGCTGAAATTTCTTGCATCCATCTCATAATAATTCTCAAAGTTGGGGGACTAAAATAATTTTGCTTACCTTAAATAGTATGTATTATTTACTATCCCTAGGGTGCATACTTTGGACAATGGGATTGAGTTGAGACATATGTGACTTATATAATGCAACTTATTTAGTTCCACCAACAGAAAGACTTTCTATTTTGCAAAACCTTGCTTTCAATTACTAGCATTGGTCTTCCACTTGTAAATTCTTAGAGACTATGACTTATAGTTGCATCCAAAAAGCACCAGAAGAACTTTCTTGGACCTAAGATTTGGGTGAGGGTGCCGAATAGAAAATGAATGTTGCAAGACCCTGCTATGAGAGATGTAACAGCAGCTATACCTAGGTGGTCATTCAAACTTTGAAGTCCTCAGCTCAAACTTTTCTATCTATGCTTGTAGGCTAAAGGTGGCTCACCTGGCAATGGTAAAGTTTATGTCAGTAAAGCACAGGATGTCGTCAGCAGTGTATTGGCAAAAGGTAGTGCCATCGGACAAGATGCCGTGAACAAAGCTAAAGCATTTGATGAGAAGCATCGATTGACAGCTACGGCATCAGCCAAAGTTATCTCGTTTGATAAGAGGGTTGGACTCACTGAAAAATTAACTGTTGGAATCTCTGTTGTCAACGAGAAAGTTAAATCTGTTGATCAGAGACTTCATGTCTCGGATAAGACGATGGCAGCCATATTTGCTGCTGAGAGGAAGATAAATGACACAGGGTCAGCTGTGAAAACTAGCAGGTCAAGTTTTGTTCCTTGAGATAGGATTTCGTGGTATAATGACCTGCGATTACTTGAGATGACAGTTTCTAGTGTTATGATATGCAATTAAATCTTGTTTGAATGTGAACAAAATGCATACTTGTTTCCATAAACACATCTGGTTGAGTCACTAATCTGAATTTATACTTTAGTAATTTCAACGAGGTGAAGGCATTGCGATTTTTTCTACTTTTCAGAAGCAGCGCTAGATGTGGCCTCGCTTTTTTGGTCCAATTTACAATATTTGCTGTTGTCCAAAAAAGATATATAAGAATAGTGTGAGTATTGAGGCTTTGTGGTGGACATCATGATCCATGCTTTTACTGTCAACATTTGAGGTTAATTGTCCAGATGTTGCAAAGTATGTCTCCTGCTGTCGGTTTAATATTGGCTTTCCCTATTATGCATAACTAAAATAGGAGTGCATAATGCGTTTCTTCGAAGAAATGGAGGAAGGGTACTGCAACCGCTATTTCGGTAGAGCAATACCTAGTTTTCTCCAATATTAAAGGATTACCTCTGACCTTAAAACTGTGATGCTCTCTCTCTCTCTCTCAGGACTACCATCATTTAACTCTTATCTCTATGCTTGGACTTTGACAGGTATGTTACTGCCGGAGCAGCTTGGTTCAATGGTGCTTTTACTAAAGTCTCTAAAGCTGGTCAAGTTGCAAGGACAAAAACCAGGGAGAAGTTGAATTTGGCTGTTTCGAACTTGACTGCAAAGGTTGGTCCTGTAGGACCGGTCTAATTGTTCATTGAGATAAAGTACGATTTTTTCCTTTGAAATGGACACACATTTTTGGCCCCTCTACCATCTGTTATAACGTCTTATGAAAACCAGTATCCTATTTCGGATTCTTTCTAGATGCATTGTCACCTCCCAGTCCTACAACAAGTTTTCTTGAAGCATTCCCGAACATGAAAGTAGGTTTTAAGGGATAATTGCGAAATGCAAATTGTTCAAATAATGCTTACCAGTTGTGTTTTTTCCCTTTCCTGTTATAGTATGATCAACATATTCTCATTGCTTTAGTGCATGTTGTCCTCTTAATATGCTTGGAGTTGGCATCATTTCATTTTTAAAAGAGTGTTTACTTGAAGTTCACAAACGTCTTGTGCAATAACATTGTGCTTGTTTTTTGTGGTAATGTAGGATCCTGCTGTCGTTGCATAAATGCGAATCAACTTGGCAGAAATTGCTTCTATGTATCTCTGGCATGAACAATTTGTTCAAGTTGGGTATGATATAGTTGGATCTTGTGCTTGGGTATTAAGGATGAAGGTCCTTATTTCCTCTTTACTTTGATCGTGTGAGTCAGCTATATCTTACAGTTTTTGTATTCTTCCAAATTTGTTGTCTCATGCTTGTGAATTTTGTAATCTTTGCGAGTTTAAAGAAAATCTTGTCATTAATCAATTTTTTCCTTGCAAAGAGAGAATTACTAATCCCCTATAACCTTGTCAATGTTGTTTGGAAGTTCATGTATAATTGAATATTTAGTAGCAGATAGAGATGGTGGGCTCAAGAGTTTCCAGGAAAGATCTCGCTTTCCTCTCATAAGATAGCTAGACTTTTCCGAAGCTTCTCCAAGTGAAACCAGGCTCTTCTGAAAAAGTTTCCACTATTTCTTCCTCGACTAGTACTAGAACTTTAACAAAGTTACAGGAACATTCTGCTCCCAATAAACTTTCACTTTTCATCAGGAGCTTTAAACTAATTTAAGGTAAATTATCATGATAGAGATGCATCATGCATAGCCCTTTTCCTTCACGTTCCATTCTTCTCTCATTCCTAGCGGTTTTTTAGATGCCTTGATCAAGTAATCTTCTTTTAGTAGAGTGAAGGTTGTGTAAAAGAAAGATCGTGTTTGTGCCTGTTTCTAGGACTGCATAGCAGACTAGGACTTGTACAAAGTGTAATGTGAAAATAGTTTAATTGATGCTAGAAGTGCCCTGCGCGTGGTGCGTGCCTGCTGATTCTGTTGGATAGTCTTTTCTTATGCATCTTCACCGTCAGCTGTGATGAGTGTAATCCAATTGAGGACTACTGTGCTTGTTATTGTGGAGGACGAAGAAACATTATTGCATTCATGATATTTAGCTAATCTCGAAGTCAAGGCAGATTGCGTCTATTGATTTATTAATTCCCATGCTCTTCAATTCAGTACTTGGCAAATTAAACTATAGCAGCAATGAGTTAAAAGTATGTCCTGGGATTGGCTATGGCAAAAGTCCCGCCAACATAAAACTAAGATGACTGATTAAGGCCGCTCTTTGTTAAAAGACTTCGAAGACTATATACTTGATCGTGGAACAGCATATGTATCACACTTCCTTTTTAATATTCCTCTTTGCTTAGCTGGTGACATCTACAGACATTGTTTGGCATGTTGCCTTGGATCGTCCAACTACCCCGGAAGCAAAGAAGTACTGTTAAAACAAGAAAGTAGAAGACAGTACACGGAGGATTGAGTCTATTTTTAGCATTTGCCCATGTGATGTGTCTGCTTGTTTTGTCATTACAAGTAACCGCTGCATTCTTTTTTCGCCCCTCTTTTATGGACTTTTATGTGTTGCATCGGTCGTAATTGTTGACTAGATAACAGATACCGAGTTGCCTTAAATAATTTCCGAAGGATGTGATCTAACTAGGACAGATAGGACATCGCCATGAGGAAAATGTCAGAAGAGCTGCGTGTTTTTTGTAGAAAAAGCGGAGAGGACCTAGAGAGCCTTGATTGTTACGATCAGCATCTAGAATGGAGAATTCAAAGCGCCTGACTTTGGGGTTGCGCATGTAAGATCCGATTAGTCTAATGACTATCTTGTACCGCGAGATTGAAGTTCCTCCTACTTGCGGTTGCGACAGTTGGAGGGTTGGATGGCGAAATAAATAATTGCAAAGTAAACGGAAAAAAAAAACAAAAAAGGAAAAAGAAAAGGAGGGAAAGGTTGGGGGGTCAATGCGTGGGGTTGTTGGATCCTCTGTTCTCTCAACCGTTGCCAACTTCCAATCCATGTTCAAGGGTGTGAAGGTGAAGACGATCCGGTGTCATTGTATGTCCATCCACAATTCAGTTTCATTGCTAGCTTGTGGGGGAAAAGAATTTGAGTAGGCAAACTGCAATGTGTCAATCACCTTTCTCTTTTGAGTCAAAAGTCGAAAATTCACACTTGGCTGGTGCGGCCGAAGGGAAACTTCAATCTCTTACCAATCAATGATGCTTCCGATCAGAACTTTAAGGCCGCGAAGGATGACGTGATGTAATTGAGCAATAACATGGATCGCATGGTATCAATTAATTTCTTCAAGTGTCATTGTCACCTGACAGACTTATTATATAAAGGACTTTCTAACCAGGTTTAGTAATAGGCTCCATCACAGGGGATTTTTGGTAACATAGCTATCCGCGATGTCTATTCCATACACTGAGTAGCCATTACTGTTGGCTCTGCATTGCCCTCAAAAGATAGGTAAAAACTTCAACTCTTTTGCGCTGTTTTGCTACTGTTCGGTACTTCTTGTGATGTTGTCCTTCACTCGGACTTTCGTTCATGGTCGAAATGAGAATGGGAAAGGCTGCATATGTCCTGGACTTGGAACTTTCAGGAATTTCACAATCAGATTATTCCATCCATGCATTAAACTTTCGTTCCCAACTGTTAATGCATTTCAATTGAAATCCAATCAATTTTAAGGAGAAAATGCTGATCGATCTGTCTTGCGTTGTTGTGCATTACGCTAGTTGAAGGTGTGTCCTGACGACAAAATGGACTATGTAAGGACCATGGAACCGCTTGGCTGTTACCTTCCATGAGGTCCAACGTCACGAATCCTTCTCAACAACCCTTCTCCATACATAACACAAAACAATATAATAAAAAAGAAGAAGAAAGTGTCAAAATGTCAAAAACCCAAAGAAAATTGAAAACTAAAGACGCCAAATCGTGGGCTAGCCAAGCCCAATGCCTAATGCCTAATGCCTAGATCTTCGCTCCCGCGAGCTGGCACCACGTGTCGCCACTTGTCGAGCAGGGAACCGCCGGAGGAGAGAGGACATGGCCGGACAAGTCCTCGCTCCGGACTCGGCTTCCAAGACAACCTCAGCCTTTTCGTTTTTTTTGGGTCAAATAAGACAACGTCAGCTTCGACCGGCGACAATTCCCACATTGTCCAGGGGCATTCTCGTCCGCTCGCAAATCTCCGATTTTCCCATTTTCCCACCCTGCCCTCCCCCGTTGAAAAGTGTCCCCCCCCCCCCCCCCCCTCTTCTCGTTCAGTCTCCTGTCCCTGAAACCGAAACGCACCAGTTTTGTTGCATCATACGTTAGTGCTATCGTCCTGCGGGGTGGAGGGGAAGGGGGTATATTCTTCGGTGCGATTCTCTTCAAACTTCAAATCAGTTGATGCGCCCATTTTATATGCTCTTCGAAATTCCGCATCACGCCGTGTGGTTCGTTTGCTGTTCTCGCCCGAGTCTCTCACGCTAGGTATGTCGTTGTCGCCGTCTCGCGAATCTCTTTCCTCCCGCAAACTCTCTCTCTCTCTCTCTCTCTCTCTTTACCCCCTGCTCCCCTTGTGCTCTTCATTGGAGCTTCGAGATATCTCGGTTGATAAATTATGTCAGCGGATGATGATGGTATGGTGAATTTGTTGTTGTGTTCGCCCACTTGCATTGAGTGCTGGGAAGGTTTCCTTGAGATCGGTGCCTGTTCCGTTCGTTGTTTTTGTCTTTGTGGGTGTCGCCGGGGCTGTGCTTTTCTTGTTCAAAATTCCGTCTCTACTCACTGCCTGGGGCTCATTTGTGGACTAAACGTCCAAATTTTGATCTTGGGTTGTTTACCGAGAAGAATATCTGATGTTAGATCTGGGTTTCGGAGTTGGACACTTGACGTGTTGTTTTGGAGGTTTAAGGTTTTGTTTTTCTAGTTGGAAATCCTCAATTTCCATCCACGACTTATGTGTCCTCTATGGTGTTTAGACTAACAAAGTAAGTGGCATATGATCGGATGAGGAAGCTCACTTTGCTCAATTTTAGAAATGGAACCTGTAACTTTGAGTGACATTTTCATTGCGAAGCTTGTTTTGATAATTTATATAGCTCAAGAATTAGATAAATGCCATTTCCTTCACTTTTTTCTTCTTATAGGTACCTTCAGACTGATCTTTTTCTCTATTTTTTCAAGATCCTTGCCCTGATCAGTCATCTTTTTGGTGCTTGAACATCATATATCCTGTATAACGTTCCCCTTTATATTTGTTACTAGAATCTAGCGTGCGAGCAAATGTACTCAAAGAAAGCATAATGAGAATCTTACATGTTTTAGAATGATGAGATCTCTTTTTCCTTTCCGTTTGATCAGGTTCCTGGTTACGTCAGCAATTCCTCCATTGAGGTTTATCGTACGTTGATTGGGGCTATAAGTTCTACTCTGCAATCTGAATTTTGGGATTGTGAGGATGGCACATTCTTCATTCAACTTATATTCATGATGGCAGTTCTCCTGTAATCTACTGAGTTTATTAGTCAGCTCAACATGGATTAGGCCGAATCATCTTCTTCATAGGGCAGTTTGTTCTCATTTTAACTGGCTCTTGGTTGATTTTCGGCTGTCTGTGGGGTTGTTTGTTTGGAACCTTGGAATTGGATTTGAATTTGGTTTTTTCTTTTAATCAGTTGAAGGAGCAATATAGTAGTTTACATGAAGGAATGGAGATTTTAGTTTCTCCTCAAGGACAGAAGCATAATTTGCTGGCTCCTGCTCGTAAAACTTTATTAGGCGGACAGCAGAAAGATCTATGGGTCATTGTTCAAGAGGGATCTTTGGCTGATGTCGATTCTGCATTGGCCTTACTGAAAAAGAATGGGGGAAATATTAATTCAAGAAACACCTTTGGTCTTACGGCACTTCATGTCGCAACATGGAGAAATCACATTCCAGTCGTTAGGAGGCTTCTTGCAGCTGGTGCTGATCCTGATGCTAGGGTTGGTTCTCTCTGATGCTTATCTAAATATATGTCTCATGAAGAGTTTGTTGGTTCCCAGAGTTATTATGGTGTGTCGATCAATCATCTCTAGGCAATGTGCTTGTTAAGTCCGTTGTTGATAATCACAGAGTTTTTCATTGTTCTTTCTTCAGTTTCTCCACAATTCTATTTCACTTTTATGTTTGCACCATAACCACTTGATAGAAGTGTCTCATGCATAATGGAATGGGGAGGTGCATAAAGAGAATGGCATTACAGAGATCTCAAAGGTGATAGAGGACACGGTTCAGATTTGGTGTGGTTGGATGAGGCTCAATTTTTTCTTTTTCAAGGTCTTTTGTAAAACGAAGAACATGCAATTGTGCTGTAACTAGCTTAATCCGGGTTTAAATGGGGTAGACTTGGGTGATTGCCAGTATAGCTCCAGCTACTGAAGATAATTTGGTTTATTGGCATTGAGAAAGGATAAATGAGACTGAGCAGATCATGTGCTCCATTAGATGAGAAACATCGACTTTGTAACTCTGCACCTGCAAGATGCATATTGGATCGAGCATGGCATAGCATTGTGCAACTGTGCTTTTTGAAGAAAACTTGACCATCAGGGTTCGTTCAATTTGGTTCAATTTGAAATGAAGAATTTTCTTCCCTTGTTGTAGTTGTGAGTGAACTTTTTTTTATGGATTTGGATGCTGAGCTAGAGATTTATCTTCAAATCAATGATAATTGGTAATCATGCAATGCTTTCCAGGATGGAGAATCAGGATGGAGCAGCCTTCACAGGGCCCTGCATTTTGGTCATCTTGCAGTTGCAAGTGTCCTCCTTCAATCCGGTGCTTCTATCATGTTGGAGGACTCTAAGTCTCGGACGCCCATCGACTTACTCTCAGGGCCTGTAAATCAGGTTATTGGGAACAGCTATGATGCTGGTATATATTTTAATCCTGTAGTTAATAGTTGTTACTATTAATTGAGTCCCCTTGATGGTATGTCCGAATTATTGCTTATTGCAGTAGCCACGGAGGTGTTTAGCTGGGGTAGTGGTGCAAATTATCAGCTAGGAACTGGAAATGCTTGCATACAAAAGTTACCGTGCAAAGTTGATTCACTGCACGGTTCCTTAATTAAGCAGGTGTCTGCAGCAAAGTTTCACAGTGTTGCTGTTAGTGCTCGAGGAGAACTCTTCACTTGGGGATTTGGAAGAGGTGGTCGGCTTGGGCATCCTGATTTTGACATCCATAGGTACCATATTAGTATCCTTCTTTTATCCATGCATGATCTTACTTTATTGTATTCGTTTTAGGAGCAAGAATATTGATGCTACGTTGTAGTTTATTGTCTTCTGACTCTTAGATTCTTTCTAATAAAAGGATACAATGGCCTTGTGTAAAAGCAATAGTTGTGTAGACACTAACTGAAATAGTTGGCCAACTAAATTTCTTTGCACCTCTCTCTCTCTCTCTCTCTCTCTCTCTCTCTCTCTCTCTCTCTCTCTCTCTCTCTCTCACTTGTGTGTGTACAAGTCTAGGCTAGAAATTAGCATTTAGCTTTGGCCCCCTTCCTGGCCAATGAATCGCAGTTAAGATGAATAGCCTTGTTTGAATATGAGTATGTGTTTCCTGAAATGTTTTTAATCACTTGATTCTTTCCAGTGGTCAAGCTGCGGTCATCACTCCACGACAGGTGACTTCTGGTTTAGGATCTCGTCGTGTGAAAGCAATTGCAGCAGCTAAACATCACACTGTTATTGCTACTGAGGGTGGAGAAGTGTTCACCTGGGGATCTAATAGAGGTGAAATTCATTTGGTTTCTGAATGGTGTAGTATTCATTTTGTTCCGATTCTGGAATTTTAGTAGTCTAACCTTAATTACGCATTTGTGTTTCAAGTGGGAAATGTAGAATTGAGAGGGTGACATTCTCACTTCTTATACCCATTGCTTCATTGACTGAACTGGAGTGATATTTTTGAAGTGTGAGGATCCTTTTTATGATTTTCTGCAGAGGGTCAACTTGGATACACTTCTGTTGATACTCAGCCGACTCCTCGTAGAGTTAGTGCCCTTAAGTCGAAAGTTGTTGCTGTTGCTGCAGCAAATAAGCACACTGCTGTGGTTTCTGAATCTGGTGAAGTATTCACATGGGGGTGCAACAGGGAAGGTCAGCTTGGCTATGGAACTTCCAATTCTGGATCAAATTACACGCCAAGACTGGTTGAGTATTTGAAGGGCAAAGGTTTTATTGGAGTTGCAGCTGCAAAGTATCACACAATTGTTCTGGGAGCAGATGGGGAGGTCATTGTCTTTCACTGTAACTCATTGTGTTCATATTGCTTAACTTGTTCTCTTTCTTGATACTGGCTTTGTGAAAAGTTCCATTTTCACATTTGCTGTAGACTTTGAATCGTTCTGTGTAATCGTATTGGACCATACTTTGGGAAACTGTCTGGCTTGATAGTGACATCCTTCTATTTGTTTTGGATATGATCTGCCATACATGTTTTACATAAACTAAATATCTAGTATGTCTTGCAGGTTTATACGTGGGGTCATAGGCTTGTTAATCCAAGACGTGTGGTTGTTGCTAGGAATCTTAAGAAAAGCGGGAGCATGCCTTTGAAGTTTCATCGCAAGGAACGACTGCACGTTGTAGCTATAGCAGCAGGGATGGTACACAGCATGGCTCTTACAGATGATGGAGCCTTATTTTGTTGGGTGTCCTCTGATCCCAACGTTAGATGCCAACAGGTTCTAATGTGTTAAATGGTTCTCTGTTTACTTATTTTTGGGTGTTTCAGCTATTTTCTGATTGCTTGCATCTTTTCATGGTATAGCTATATTCACTATGTCAAAGAAACATTGTGAGCATTTCTGCTGGAAAGTACTGGTCTGCTGCAGTTACTACCACAGGTGATGTTTACATGTGGGATGGGAAGAAAGAGAAGGATAAGCCGCCAGTGCCCACACGATTACATGGCCTGAAGAAGGCAACTTCTGTGTCAGTTGGAGAAACCCATCTCTTGATAGTTGCCTCTCTCTTTCATCCGGCTTATGTGTCTCCGGCACTCGAGAATTCTCAGGAGGTGATGTTGAATGGTGGGAATGAGTTGGAAGAGCTTGATGAAGACATTTTGTTTGACGATGTAAAGTCTGATAATGCATTACTCACGATAGAGGATAGTGATGCCGTGCAACGTCCAATACCTAGCTTGAAAAGCCTTTGTGAGAAGGCTGCAGCAGAGTGTCTAGTGGAACCTAGGAATGCCATCCAGTTGCTTGAAATTGCAGATTCACTTGATGCAGATGGATTGAGGAAGCATTGTGAGGTATAGACCGAAGGACTTATAATTTTTGAGTACGCAAGAGTTTTTTACTCTGTCCTCCGATACTGCGATCTTTAATGCCAGTGCCGTGTAATGTTTCCACCTATCGGTTCTTCTCCTCCGAAGTGAGAATTTTCCATTTGTATATCTGTAACTGTTCTGTTCTACTTCGTAAGTTTGTAGTAAACTATAGGTGACACTAATCATTGTTAAGAGTCTTGAGGTCATTGACATTTTGCAGTTGCAACCTATCATGATTTCTTATGTAGCCCATAACCTTTTGCGTGATTGATCTTTCTAGCAGATTTCTGACATTGTGTCCATAACTCACTAGATTTTCGTGCTTGTACCCATAGGATATTGTTGTTAGGAATCTGGACTATGTCCTCTCCATCTCATCACACAATGTGGCAACTGCTTCTTTAGATATTTTAGTCAGACTGGAGAAGTTATTGGACTCGAGGTCATCTGAGCCATGGAGTTGCCGTCGTCTTCCTACGCCTACTGCTGTCTTTCCTGCAATTATTGACAGTGAAGAAGAGGATGGAGAGAGTGAGTTGGTAAGGATGCGTTGTACATCCATGGACAAGTTATCCTTGAGAAACAAGAGCCGCCAAGATGCTGACTCGTTTCTGCAATTGAAAGACGATCTTAGTGAACACGTCAGCAAACAAATTCGTGCTCTGCGCAAAAAGTTGCAACAGATAGAGATGCTTGAAGAAAAGCAGTCCACAGGGCATTCTCTTGACTGCCAACAGATAGCGAAGCTCAGTACTAGGTCTTCTCTTGAAAGCTCACTTGTTGAGCTGGGTGTCCCAGTGGAGGTACTGGGTGCAAAACCCTCGGTTTTAGAGCCATCAGATGGGAAGGTGAAAAATGCTGGAGTATCTAAAAGGCAAAGAAGAAAGAACAAAAAGCAGTTATCTCAGGTAGAGAATGCGTCTGGCTTTTGTCATGGAGATGGTGAAGTGAGTTCTTTAGAGAGCTCTAAGGATCCTGGGTTCTCGCCAGTCTCCAAGGATGAGGTAAAATTCCTTACTTAGATACATCTTTACACAGAATTGAGTGTGCAGTTATTGTGCTGGAATACCAAGAAGATGATCTTATCCACTGAATTAATAGTGTAGCCTACAAATGGAACAAAATCAAAAGTAATGTTTAACGGTACATTTAATTTATTTAGTCTCAGGAATTTTATTGTCTGCCTCACGGTCGCTTTTTTGTCAAACGAGATATGCTTCTGCTATTAGGATTAGTCTTTGGGTCACAAGTTTGGGGAAGCTTCTTTTGTTCTGTAGTTAGATAGACGAGTTTGTGACAAGTGATTTTTTTAGTAGTCTCATGTTGATTTTATTGCTACATGATAGGAGGAGTGTCCTGGGGTTGAACATCAGGTGGGCGAGGCTATGAAAGAATCTTCAACTATTGGGAAGAGTGAAGTTGGAGATGTTCAAAAGAGCAAGGGCTCGACGGTGAAAAGGAAAAATAAGAAGGGTGGGCTCTCCATGTTTTTGAGTGGTGCTCTTGATGACGCCCCAAGAAATACCGCTCCGCCGCCTCCCTCGTTGCCCAAAAGTGAAGGACCAGCATGGGGTGGGGCCCAGTTTTCAAAAGGGTCCACCTCGCTTCGTCAGATTCTGGATGAACAGAAAAACAGCAAGGAGATTCTAATAACTGGTAGCAGACCCAAGTTAGGAGACATAGCTGATGTCAAGACTGATGGAAGAATCAGCTTGAGTTCGTTTTTGCCTTCCAGTCCTATACCCGTGGGCCGAGCTTGTTCATCTCCAGCTTCTGATGCCGAAAAGGGCACCCCTCCCTGGGCTTCTTCTGGGACTCCACCTCTTATGTCTCGGCCTTCATTAAGGGATATACAGATGCAGCAGGTCTGCTCTCTCTCTCTCTCTCTCTCTCTCTCTCTCTCTCTCTCTGTGTGTCTCTCTCTCCACACACGTGCGCACACACCAGTGCACGCATGCACGCACCAATGCCCGTCCTCCTGAGAGATACACTCTGCCTGCCCACTTGCACACATGCAGACCCAGACCCACCAAATCCATCGGCACAACCCCTGTACACTCATTAGTTGGTCACATGGACATGGCGTGCTTGTATTATGTTCAATTGGTAATTCCAATGGACATGTATCATACCAATTGTAGTAATCTTTATAAGTTTGGTAGTTCGATATATTTTAGCCCTGTTAATGCCTTCATGATGCTTGGGATCTTCATCTTTTGCTTCTTATTTAACCCAGGGTAAACAGCACCAGAGTCTCTCCCACAGTCCAAAGACGCAAACGACTGGATTTGCAGTCACATCTGGGCAGGGCTCGCCTTCAGATTCTGCCGGAATGAACCGCTGGTTCAAACCGGAGGTCGATGCACCCTCATCTATTCGCGCGATCCAGATCGAAGAGAAGGCTATGAAAGATCTCAAGCGATTCTACAGCAGCGTAAAAATCGTCAAGAACCAGTCTTGACCGGCGTTAGGGGAACACTTTTTTCCTTCATGCACTTTTGTAAATTCGACTGTACAGATTGACATAAGTGTACATTATTCTCTTAATTCTATAGGGTAGATTATCTTTCTATTTAAACACCGAGCTTCCGTAACTTTTGAGAATAAAGATTCGTGTCATTGACTCTCAATGACCTTGTGCATGTTCATGTACGTCTTGTAAAAGATAGAGACAGATCCGGAGAAGGCTCTACTTGCGGATTTTAATCTAATCTCATAAATGTCAAATTCTGCTGGCATTGAGTTTCTACTGATTGCAGTAGCTTCATTCATCTTAATTGGGTTGGTCAGTCATGTATTCCAAATACCATCTTCTGCATTAGATACGTTTATATTGCCTCTGAAACCGGAAGCACATGTACGGATTCTTTATGGTCTGCTTTAGCACATGTTTCAAGTATTCAACACTACCATCCTATCATTCTGAATTTCTTTGCTTTTTGGCTTTAGCACGGGTCATGTCCTTAGATAATTTGGAACATCGTGGACAGACCTGTTCGAGATCTTCTGGATGCAGAGTCGGGTCGCCGGAAAGCATTATTTCTGGAGTCAGTTCGTACTCATATAGATGGCCGGTCCCCGATCGGATCAGGGATAAAATGGTTCAAATCCGACTTGACATTATGGTGTGCTTAAAGGGTGAGAGAGACCACTGGACCTATGTCTTCCAACGATTACACCCGAACTTCATCTTACAGTGTGTGTGTGTGTGTGTGTCTGGGACAAAGAAACGAAAGGAAAAGATCACTTGTACGGCCATGGATAGCCACGGATCTTCCTGCCCTTGGGGCCAAAAAAGGGGGGGAGACATAAGCTTTTTAGTCCTGAAAATTGACGTGGACCCGCACGCACTTTGACCTCTTTAGTCTTTTCATTTCCCCCTTCTTTTTGCATCGATGACCTGAGCGTTTGAATTCAGCGTGCAGTCCACTACACACACCGAGCAGAACTTCTCTGTTTATACTGACTTTTTACCCGACGGACGGTGTCAGCCAAACAAGGGAAAAATTATTCAATTAGTCATAAATTTATTATACATATGTTAATTTAGTCCTATATCTTTTAATTTTGTCAATTTCGTCATATACCTTTGAGTGAATTTTCAATATAGCTCTTCTGACTAATTTTTGTTGGAAACACCAGCCATCCTAGATAGTGCACTGACATGTCGGCGATTTGCGATAAGAATTGGCTTAAAGGACTACATTGAAATTTCGCACAAAGGTTTAGGATTAAATTAGCAAGATCGAAAAGTTTAGAACTCAACCGACATCCTTACAATGGATTTAATAAACATATAAATTGAATCTTTTGGATTTTAAAACTTTCCCACCAAACAACATTTTTTATAAGACCATAAAAAAACACATGATTGGTGGAATGCGGACTAACAGAGGCCAAAATATCGGTTCGAAAATTTAGGTGCTTTTTAAAACCACGGAACCGAGGTTGTAAACCACACCACACCAATCACTCAGTTATGAACACAGATGCATTCTTCTTATTTTTCATTTTCTCTTATCTTAATGTTCTCGTCATTCATATGATATGATCATCTAATAAACATATAAATTGAATCTTTTGGATTTTAAAACTTTTTGAAGAATGATGTTCTATCTAATGCTAACATTTGACCAGGGGTTTTATCTATCTCAGAAGATATGGTAGGTTAAATAGAATCTGGACGAATATGATCTTCTGCTTATATTCTTCTCCTGAGGACAACACCCGATCTTAGATGGAAAGATGCTTGAATCTTGTTGAGTTAGGATCATGAGCGAGTCCTGTTGTATCGTGTTGAATTGCGAGCAAGCATTTGAGGGTTACTAATTGCCAGCTATTTCGTCTCTAACTTGATACCGAATTGAAAAGCCTATTTCGTGTACTCCGACATGCCACATGATGACATGACTAATGATTCAGATGCTTGACCAAACGATTCAGATGCGTGCAAAAAGACACGTCCGCAAGAGCCAAAAGGCACCGTGGACATTGTCAGCAGTAGCCAGACGACGCAATGAAGCTCGGTCGCTTCCGATTCCTCTTAATCGGGACAAATCCGTTCTGCGTACGTTTTGGGATATCACTTTCAACTCTTTTCTCTACTAATACGTTTCTCTAAAACATAACTATAAGTAGGGATGTACAAAGGAACTAAGAACCGCCTGGAACCGGACCGGACTGACCCAGAACCGGTGGTTCCTAAATGGTCTAGTCCGGTTCTCGATTCCAATTTATTGGAACCAATGGGTGCCGGTCCGGTTCTCTGTTTCAAGTGTGAAACCGCCCACCAGCCCACTTAAACCGGACTGATAATATAATATAATATTTATTTATTTAATTTTTTATTAAAAAAAAGAAAATCCTAAATTTCTAAACCTAACTTGGTCAATACTCTCACTCTTCTCGGTCGACGGTGTGGATAACTCAATATTGTGCTAATCTGCTGTATGAGCTTGTGACAAAGTGCTTGTGAATAGCAAGCAATGAGATTGTTCGCTCATTTTGTTGAAGTTCACCGTTGACAGAAGATTATAATGTGTGTAAGTGGTGTATAGGTTATACCATTTTCACAGCTCATTGAAGCTTGAAATGATTCAACTCATTTTGTTGAAGCTCACTGTCTACTTTTTCCTATTCATAATAGTGCAGTGCTATATGACTTCTTCACATGAAGGAGTGGAAAGTTAAGAGACTACTAAATGTAGCTATTGCAATGTCTTTGGCTCTGACTTATTCGGAAGTTACTGGCACAAATGTCTTTATGCGGTCATATTTGGAAAGTTTGAACAATAAGTGAAGATTTTTACATTCCAGTCCTTGGCTCTAGCTTGGGGGTAAGTACAGCGCAAGTGCCATAACTTTTGTACGGAGGACACTTAAGTGCCATAACATTTTTTTGGCTCACATGAGTGCCATAACTTTCAAAAAAAGATCACTTAAGTGCCACTTACGAGCTGATCATGAGGGTCCGAAACCGCGGCTTTTCCGGCCGAACAATGACCTTCCCGGTGAGGCGAGCACCACCAGCTTGAAGAGGGGGTGTCGGTGAATCATTCCATGGCCTCTGTTCGTCTCGAAATTTCCGTTTTAGCCTCCGTTGACGAAGGTAAAAATGCTTCGTAGTCACACATTTATCGAGCCGATTTGTGTGACTATGAAGCATTTTTACCTTCGTCAACGGAGGTTAAAACGGAAATTTCGAGATAAACGGAGGCCATGGAATGATTCACCGACACCCCCTCTTCAATCTGGTGGTGCTCGCCTCGCCGGGAAGGTCACCGTTTGGCTGGAAAAGCTGCGGTTTCGGGCCCTCACGACCAACCCCTCTGACAAGCTAGTCATGAGGGCCTGAAACCGCGGCTTTTCCGGTCGAACGGTGACCTTCCCGGCGAGACGAGCACCACCATATTGAAGAGGGAGTGTCGGTAAATCATTCCATGGCCTCCGTTCGTCTCGAAATTTCCGTTTTAACCTCCGTTGACGAAGGTAAAAATGCTTCGTAGTCACACAAATCAGCTCAATAAATGTGTGACTACGAAGCATTTTTACCTTCGTCAACGGAGGCTAAAACGGAAATTTCGAGACGAACGGAGGCCATGGAATGATTCACCGACACCCCCTCTTCAAGCTGGTGGTGCTCACCTCACCGGAAAGGTCATTGTTCAGCCGAAAAAGCTGCGGTTTCGGGCCCTCACGACCAGCTCGTAAGTGGCACTTAAGTGATCTTTTTTTTGAAAGTTATGGCACTCAAGTGAGCCAAAAAAAAGTTATGGCACTTAAGTGTCCTCCGTACAAAAGTTATGGCACTTGCGCTGTACTTACCCCCTCTAGCTTGTTAGGAAGATCCTAACTTGAAGAGCAATGTCTTAACTTGACCAGTAGGTAAAGTTGCATTTTTGTGTAATTTTTTTGTTGCATTTTACAATGCCGATGTGTGAAGTTTGGTGAGACCGGTTCCATGGACCTACCCAGGAACCGGACTAGACCGGCGGTCCGATTCCGGGTGGATCTATGAAATCAACGGGCAATTCTCGGTTCTTTAGTGAGCGATTTCCAATTTTATAGTGGGAACTATCGTGCTCATCCCTAGCTGTAATTGTAAGCCACGTCATATACCACTTCAGTTTTCTTATTCGGATAATTTAATCATGGATATTTTGTCCCTTGAACAGAAATTCGCGAATGTTTTTGGGGATTTGGCCGGAAACAGGGTAACATAAAAAGGAAAAGTTAAGGAAGACCAGAAATACCGTGGGCCACATTTTTAAAGCAAGAGAAGAAAATCAAATCTAATGGATTGGTCTCTCTCTCTCTCTCTGTCTCTCCACTCCATAGGACAATGATTTGATGTCGATAACGTAGTTCACTTTCATGAATTCATGAAAGGCTGGCGGTGTCAATCATGAATAGGAGTTTGCTCTTGAAATGCTTACATATAGCCGAGGAACTTTGCTAGCTGTTTTTTTCTCGAGAAATGGATAATTTTTCTATTGCTTCTACGTATCTCTCCTTTAAAACGATGTCATGCTTAACTCAAAAGGTACGTCGATAAACAA